CAGGGCCAGCGAGGACGCCGCAAAATGCGAACATCATGATAAACAGCAGGTTCATGACACCACCTGCAGTATCAGCGTTGGGAAGTCCGGCGATGATCATGTGGGCGAAAGACGAAGCGAGTAGGAAGAACATCCAGACGTGAAGGAAGATGGTGATGCCACGAGAATGGACCTCGTTCGTGTACTCAGCATTGCGGTAGAGGCCGATGGGGAAGTACCAGCATATGAAGGCAAAGATACCGATGAACTAGACGGGATATCAGAAATGATCTGTCTGAGGAAGTGTGACGTAGCTTACCGAGTTCCAGACGATCTCGACTGTCAGATTGGCAAACATGAATGACTGCCAAGAGTATGTCTTTGCGGGACGCTCTCGAGCTTCGTAAAGAGTCCTCTGCTCCACAAAGGCCGGCATCATCTGTTCAGCGACCTGCGAAAATATGGTCAAGAAGATGAATACGCCAAACATCTGATTCTGAAGACCGCGGACTGTATTTTCGCCATTCATGACAGAAAGTCCAATAAACAAGGACTAGAGCGAGGTCAGCTTGTGTGAAAGAATGAAGATTTACGAGGGAAGACTTACTGCGCCGACTGTGAGAATGGCCTTGGAGTACATATAACCCGGGCTTCTCCAGTACTGAATAATAAGGCGCTTCGTGACTTCCCATAACTGTGTAGATAGAGGAGAAGCAAACTCGTTATACTCGGAGGGGTCAGCGCCGCCTGATGTAGGTGTAGGCGATGGGTGTGACGCCTTGAGAGATTCGAGCTCCTCTTGTACTGCCCTGTATTCTGGAGACTGTCTCCATGCCGCTGGCCAATCGACATCAGTATGAGTACCTGGTGCCGCCCCGATAACTTCAAGCATATGCTCTGCTGGGTTGGCCTTGGGCGGTAGAGGCGGGCCTCCGTTGCGAGTGAAGTAGTCCATCAAGATCTGCGAATTCTGACCGATTTGACCAAAATAGACAGTCTTTCCACCCTTTGCGAGCAGAAGTAGGCGGTCGAATCGTTGGAAAAGCATAGCAGAAGGCTGATGAATGGTACACAATATCGCTTGACCGCTCTTGGTCAATTGCTCCATCAAGTCGCAGATAGACCAGGAAGTCTGACTGTCGAGTCCAGAAGTCGGCTCATCGAGAAAGAGTAAAAGCTGCGGACGTGCGACAAGCTCAACAGCGATCGTAAGTCTCTTGCGCTGTTCAACATTGAGGCCTTCGCCTGGGACACCGATAATGGCATCTGCATAGGCGTCCATCCCGAGGAGCGAAAGGACAGTCTCGACGTAGTCCAGTCGTTCTTGCTTGGAGTACTTCGCTGGCTGCCGAAGCATGGCACTAAATCGTAGCGCTTCTCGTACCGTTGAACTGGCCTGGTGCAGATCCTGCTGAGTCACATAGCCCGTCTTCCTCTGAAAGGAAGAGTCGCGAGAGTGACCATTAACAAGCATATCACCGGAGACAACACCCATTGTCACCCGACTGGCGAGGACGTCGAGAAGAGTGGTTTTACCGGCACCTGAGACACCCTATGAGTACGTGAGTAAGTATGAACCGGGGTAAAATAAATCCCACTGCAGTATAGAAGGTACTAACCATGAGAGCCGTCAAGGTTCCAGGCTTGACCCAACCATCGACATGATCCAAAATCCTGCGCGTCTCGCTCTTGATCTTGACGTCGTAGCAGACATCCTTCCAATGGAAGACGGACGTTTGTTTCTCGACCTCGACCTTCTCACTCGAAGAACCAGATACCTCTTGTTTTCCTGTAGGCGTAGGAACACCCGACTCTTCATCGCTGACCCGCTTACCAGATACCTTGTGCATAGCCTCCCGGAGAAAGACCAACACTTCGCCTTTTGAGCGCTCCGAAGCGACATACTCGGTAGTCCAAAGGTGAAGAGCCATAAAGAACACAGTCCAGGCGATGATGATGCCAAAGTTCCTCCATCGGTGGCTGTTGACGAAGCCAAATGAGGCCTTCAAGTAATCCTCACCCTTGACGAATGATTGGCCGGGTACAGATCCGGGCACATTGCAAACGTATTCGCCGTTGCCTAAGCTCTCGTAACCAGGACCATGCGGGACAAAGTCTGAGCAGGGGAACTGTTGACCGACAAACTCGATTAAAAACACGCTCTCCAGGCCGTAATATACAGGGTTCACCCATCGGATCCAGCCAAGCCAGTTCTGCATATAAGCGGGAGGGATCGCGAATCCTGAGTACAAGACCAAAGCCAACAGGATGATGCAGGCAGGGGCCAGAGCCTGGGAAACGGACTTGGTTGCAGAGCCAATGAAGCGGAACATCATCGACATACAGAGAGTGATCGAGAATGAGAAAAGAAGGAAAGCGAAGAATGGACCCGGTTCGCGACGCAGGTTGCACATGAAGTATAGCGTGCAATTGAGAAGAATTGAGTTGACGACCTTGTACGGGAGATCAGTGGCCATTGCTGACAGGGCTTCGGCACTCGGATGGTAAAAAGCGTACCGAGACTGCTTTTCAACAACCTTTCGCTTTGCATACAGAGTCATGATCTCGAGGATGCTCGAGAACGCGTTGATGAGGACGATGAAGAATAGCAAAATGGTTCGACGGAAGAAGCTTGTGGTGTTGAAAGGCAGGTTGTAGAAAATACTCGAAATAATCAGTCCCTCGAATAGGTTGCTGATAAGCATGGTGAGAGTGATGCTAGGGTCTCCGATCAACATAGTGAAGCCTCGCCAGAGGTTGATGGTATATTGTTGTAGATAGGAGAGGTTGAAGGGAGACCGTTCCCTCTGAGCCGCGGCTTGATCGAGCCTTCGGGATTTGGAGAACTTTTGAAGATCATGTCCATCGAAGGGATGTTGTTCCATATAGTAGTCGATCTCGTCGATAAGTCTAGACTGTTGCTGGCTATGCTGCCAGGCCCGGGCAAACTCGTCCGAAGTTCGAGGTGGATTGGCGCCGGGGCGGATTATTCTCTCGGCTGGGTTGGTCATCGAAGTGAGGAAGTCGGCTGTTGTCTGTTGCTCGGGGCAAATGAAGCCGAGGTTCTCAAAGTAGGCTTGGGCCTCGTCCGTCCTTCCGAAGTAGATCTGACGGCCCTCGTACAGGACAATGACCTTGTCAAATAGCTATGTACCAAGTTAGCCACGGAGGTAGATTGAACAACACGCGTGGAATACTTACATCATAGGCACTCTGAGGCGCTTGGTAGATTGCGACGCAAGAGGCAATACCGAGGGTATCAGCTTGGGTGCGCAAGACACGGCAGAACTCAACGGCGTTGGCGCTATCGAGACCGCGTGTGCTGTTGTCCCAGCACTGTAGAGGGGAATATCCCAGGGCAGCCTCGGCGATGGTGACTCTCTTGCGCTCGCCGCCACTGACACCACGGACGTAGTCATCACCAACTCGAGTGTTCTTGGTATGTGAAATGCCAAACATAGCCATGATAACATCACGAAGATGCTCAGCATACTCTCGAGCTGTGACACCAGGAGGAAGCTTGTCCTTTGGAGGACATCGGCAGCGGGCGGCGAAGTAAAGGGTATCGCCGACGGTAAGATGCGGGAAATGGTGATCGACTTCGGCCGTGTAGATGGCCTCGCCTCGATAGGCTTTCTTCATCTGCTCGGGCCGGATGCCCTGGTAGTTCAAGACTGTATCGTTGCCGAAGTGGAAACCGTGGGTCTCGCCTGCAATACTGCGAAGCAGGGTTGAACAGCCCGAGCCTGGAGGACCTAGAACACATAGCATCTCTCCAGCTTCGACGTACCCGTCGATACCACGGAGGATATCAATGCGCTGACCCTTGTCCCCAAATATCTTTCTGGCGAAACTCGAAGCCTTGAGGACGATGTTGGTCAGAGTATTCTGGAAGTCGGTCGCTTGGCCAAAGCCGTATGCATTGAGGTTCTTGAACGCGGTGCCGGCAGTGCGAGGAGTACTACCATCAGCAGTTTCGGTCCGGGTCTTGAGATAGGCCTTGGCCCAATTCTTGGAGTTGAAATGGGGGCTCTGCGGATCAAGGGGACCGCCATCACTCAAGGGGAACAATGGCCCATGACCCGATGCAGCAGATTGACTCGTAAACCTGCGCGCCAAGTCGTGGATTTCCTCTTCGTACTCAGGTTCATCAGACAGGTCGTTGTTGTCCCGCGTCCTGTCACCCAACGTGGCAGAGGACATGGAAGGGGCGTCACTAGGACGCGGATCGTTTGGAGGATTCATCCGGTCTTGGGTCAAGCGATTTGGATAATATTATTGGAGAAGATGATGGATGGTTGTTAATTAGATAGCGACTGAAAGAATGGTGACAGGATCGTTGCTGTCAAGTCAATGGCACGGTTTGCACTGGGTTATCTTATAACTTGGAGTCAGAATGGAAGAGTTATTTTAGAGACGTGGACTGAATCAAATTTTACCCCGAACAGTCACTCATTTCAAGCATTATCTTACGTAGCAACGGACATCCGTAGCCCAGACATACCGGCCCTGGAATTCCGTCATGATACACATTGACTTGAAGGCCGGACGGAGTGGACGACCGAAATAGTGGGGCCTTGCGGCATCTCGGACTGTCCGAGCACCGGACCTCTCCCCTTTTATGGAGGACAGCGCCACAGACTCATCGCCATCAACGGATCGACGTGCTATATCTTGGCAACATCAATATTCAGGGTGATTTCTCGCAGATTTGTCACTTTGCCAAGCCCAAGTCTGGGAACGGGTTTTGCGGAATCCGTAATAGATAGCTACGGGCTCCGCTGCGTGGGCCTAAGCCTCAGCTGCTCAATCCTAAATTTATGGAATACCCCTAAGACTTACAATAATTTCACAAATTCTGTTAGCTGAAGGTAAGTCGCTTCTAGGTTGAGATCAAATTCAATATGATGCACTGTACGTGTAGAATATGAAACCTTCGATTAAACTTCGGATGACATTATTATCAACAAAGCAAGAACGAACATTGTTTCATACCTACGTCAGAACATAGATGAATTGCCATGCTGCCATCTTCTTGCGAAGGCCTTGTCTGGGTAAAAATCTACCTTTGAGCTGCAGACAAGATGGGGATATGAGCCAAATATTGACGACATCAAGGCTGTTTGCCAGACGACGCTACAGCTTGACGATCCAGCACTTTGTGCAGTATCGTTCTTGACTTCAGGAGGGTTCAACAAGATCTACGTGGTGGAAGTTGGATACGATCAGAGATTCGTCTTGAGAGTTTCTCTCCCAGTTGACCCTAGGCACAAGATGGCCGGCGAAGTCGCGACACTGGGATGGCTCAGCCAGCATTCGACAGTACCAGTGCCTAGAGTTATCGCGTTTGATGACACCAGAGATAACGACACCAGAGATAACGAGATTGGGTTTGAGTGGATTTTGATGGACCATGTTTCCGGCACGTCAGCCCAGACTCGATGGCGCAAGATGACTATGGAAGATAAGAAAACCCTGGTAGAGAACATCGCCCGCCATCATGCCCAACTGCTCGACATATCGACATTCCAGCAATTGGTACTCTGAAAGAAACAGACTGGGGTTTTATACCCGATAGACTGGTCTCAATGATGTTCTTCTGGGGCGATCACTACAATTTCGATGTTCATCGTGGCCCTTTTCGTTCTTCCCATGGCTGGTTGTACTCATTCCTTTTCATCATGATTAAAGGTAAGATCCTGGCAATGGACAAGGCTGTTAGAGAAGGGGATGAGGAGGATGCAGATGAAGTCATGTACAACCTACGTATCGCAAAAGAATTATACCTCCTGCTTCCCGAGATCTTTACGCCCGACGAGGACACAGATGATAAAAAGGTATTGTGGCACGACGACCTTTCATTGTCCAGCATCTAGACAAATCTAGCATACCCATCCACCATCGACATTATATACCGCGCCAGTCACAAAGGATGCCTCATCGCTGAGTAAAAAGGCGATAACACGAGCAACCTCGACTGGATCAGCTCGTCTCTTTTGCACAGTCCCCGAAAGACTGCGCTTGATGTGTTCTGCGTCATCATGCTCGTTCATAGCAGTACTCACGGACCCTAAGAACAGTCAGCCAATATTGAGACCCGTAAACCGCTAGATCATACCGGGCGAGACACAGTTAACTCGTATGTGGGCATTTTCCTTCGCAGCTGTACGCGAAAGGCCGATAACAGCTGCTTTGCTTGCGCAGTATGCGACATGTCCGGGAGCGCCGAATTGACCAAAGACACTTGCAGCAGAGACCTGACGGACAATGAGTGGTTAAACAATTTACGCTGATCTTCGAACTTACAATACTAGCCCCAGCGGACATGGCTCTGAGCTCTGCGCGTAGGCAGTTGAACACTCCGCGGGTATTGACTGCAAACATCTTATCCCAAACTTCATCGCTGTACTCAGTGAGAGGTACTGGCTCAGCAATAATGCCAGCCATGTTCACAGCACCATGGAGCTTGCCGAAAGTGTCGACGGTCTTCTGGATCCAAGCGTCCACAGAGTCACTTTTGCTGACGTCTACCACTTGATAGATATGCTTGTCACCCGAAAGCGAGTCTTTGGCCTTCTTCAGTGCTTCTTCGTTGATATCAGCGAGGGAAATTGTAGCTCCTCTCTCAGCAAGGAGCTTTGCTGTGGCTAGACCCATGCCTGATCCAGCGCCGGTTACAGCGATCTGAAATGTTATTCCTGACCAATGTTGCACGAGGGAAGGATGACCTACCACGTTCCCTTCAAAAGATGCCATTTCAGAAGTTGGTATAATAGAGAGAAAACTTGGTTCTATCAGATCAAAACTTTAGAGGAGGATTTGGCAGAGTTTATGTCCATAGCAGCCCAGCCATAACCAACTTGTCTCTGTGACGTATATCAATGAAAGGCCATTGGTGATGAGTTTACCCCGCATGGCAAGGTGATAAGCCGTTCTGGAAGTGGAAAGTCATCCCAGGTGGCGGAATGCTTGGAAGAACTCACTCTGTTGCTACCCATGTGCAATGGACCGATCACCGGCTATCAGCGAAGGAAGTGAGGACACGTCACATAATCACAGATGGAAGCATGCAAGATGAGACTTGCCAGTTCATGTTGGAGCTATTTTATATTGTCTCCGATTTCGCCTATTCATTTGAACCCGTTTTGTCTATCGGTGCTGTCCCTCCCGATCCATATGCGCTCAATACGTTCCTTCGTTTCCGTAAATATTCTCAGCCCACTTCGCTTTGCAGCGCATTCAAACCACTGTACAAAAGACGCCCGTATATCATTATCATCAGTCTCACAAGCTGCAACAAAAGCAGGCCATATCAGTCTCAAAGATCCGTATCCCATTCCAGCATCCGATGCATCAAACTCGAGGAGTCGGTCGCGCACGCCAAGAACATGCTTTTGAAGCATGCTTGGGTCCAGATCATATATCCTACGGTAAAAATACACAGAAAGCGCGTGCTGCATTGTATCGGCCAAGCTGTTCAACAGGTTGACGGACTGCTGGTGTTCTGGATCAACAGGCGCCTCAACCATCCATATTGACTGGCGAAGCACGTGCAGCTGCTTTATCCACCGCTCAACAGCCTTTGCTCGAGCCATGAACTCTTTCAATGTCAGGCCAGAGTTAATCAGTTCATCTTGGTTCTGCTCTTTCTCTCGTGCAAGCCGGATGACCAGCGAAAGCATAAAGAGGTGGAGCTCTGGTACGCCAAAGATCTCAGGATAAAGCGTAGCCGACCATATTCCCGGATGTTGAAGGTGAAGGTCATTTTCGCCCTCTTCTTGGCCTTTAACCTTGTGCATCTCCTGGTCCAAGTTACTCCACGTGGTAAGACGGAAAGACAAGCTATCCTGACTATAAGCACTGGCACCGCTCGCTTCTATCGCTTCGCGGACGCGATTACGATGATCCAAGTTCAGTGTGCTTTGAGTAAATGCACTCTCGTGTGATAGACGCTCAAACACATAGCAGTGATGTAGCAACCTGACCTTTCGAGATTTGCGTCGGTTCAGGCCTTTTGTTCGGATGAACTTCTCCGTTTCCAGGAAGAAGTATTCGGCTTCATCCCGATTGCCAGAGAGTATGGCAATCTGGACCATGGTCAAAAGAGCCATGAGTATGGACTTGTATTTTGCCGTCTTGGGGATATCATATGCAGTCTTGAGCATAAGACAAACATGAAAGTGGGCTTGTTGATAGTATGCCTTGCCTTGGTCTAGCCATTTGGTGGAGCCATGAATACCTCCAAGGCTGAAGGCGCTGATTGATAATGTGCCGTAGAATGCACATAGACTTGCGTGGTCCATCTTCTCGCCAAGGGTCAATGCCGCTAAACAGCTTTTGACATGAGGCAGAAAGAGGACGTGCCATGGTGTCTTGCTGTGGCGGTATGGAGTTAAGCCTCGAAGCACGATTGTCGCGTAATGCTTCACTAGTAACACAGCGTCGCGCGGTACATCTGTGTCAATTTGTGATGACACAGAGCCTGAGCTAGGCGAAAGGTGTGATAGGTAAAGACTTGGAGATCCAAGCTCAATTGTAGAAGACCGTGCAAATGATGAAGGAGGCTTCTGCGCAGAGGCTGATTCACCCATCCAAGGCACGGCAGTTTCAATGCCCATGGCCACGGGATCCCACCAGTCGGGGAGATCGAAGTGTCCTGGATCCAGCCAGCTGCTCACAGGAAAGCTTTCCAGCGTCTTCAACCAATCTGTACGAGGAATAAGCGCGTTATGTTCCGCTGATATTTGATGCTGAGAATCTCGAGGAGTCGTTCCAGTCGCAAAGTCGAGTGTTGAGGCGACAACTTCCACGTCGTCATCGAAGTCAGGAAGTAGTATTTGATCTTCTTCAACAGCGCCGTGAACCTGTGGACCCTCTATTGCGTCCTCATTTATCTCGTTCAAAGTACCCAAGGGGTTTGAGGACAATTGTTGCGCAATGCGAAAAGCCCCAAAAGGTCCTCTGAAGATCTGAAGGTCTGGAGACGCCTTTTCGGATTCTTCGTCAATTTGAGAAAGATGCCAACCCGCTAGCTCTGGCGGAACATCTTGCGCAATCTGTTCGCTCAGACGCTCTCGTTCTTGGTCCGTTAATAGTGGTCTTCGAAATCGCGCGATTCCTGTTGACGAGGGATCGTCAAAGTCGAAGAAAATGTCTTTACTATAACCGCCGCAATCAAGACCCGAAATGTTACACATAGAACATCCAGGACGTCCTTCATCGCATTTCACACGACGGCTGCGACACTGGGAAGGGTCAGTCTGGAATGACGGGTTTGAGTAAGTGAACATACGGTAACGCATCCTCCAAACGAACGAGTCCGCCGTCCTGGGACCCGCTTGGCCTTTGCTGTGGACTTCCCTACAGAAGGAGGCATAGTGAAGAGAAGCTGTCTCCTCGACGAGACCTTCTTCTCAGCCGGGAATGCCCACTTGTAAAGGTGCAAGATGCAGGCATCGGCAGTCCCCCCGTGGTGGAGAAGTGAGATAAGGCTAATCGCTTCCCCGCCTTTCGGTTATCGGTATCAATCCCTCTCCTGGGGACACTTTCCTATCCTAAGAAGACGATGAAACCTTGAATAGAGTGATGGAAGGTCAGCGGAAATAGAAGCCCTCCAGTTCGTATTGGTAGTTGGCTCCTACAGGGCGCACTTTGATCTCGTGTCCTTCGGATTATCGCGTGTGATAAGGTTCTCCCCGCACTTTGCAACGTCGTTACTTCATCCAAACTTGTGATTGGAAGGGGAATGTTCCACTATCGAAGCCACCATCGTAAAAGGAAAGTTATATCTGGTGGCGAGACATGTCCCTTTTCACTGTGTGATAGCATGACAGGAAAGTCGAACAGACTATCCTGTTCAGGTCATTGGCTGAGAAGAAAACGTGAAGGCAATTCCGACATTACACGATCGAATCATTAATCTCAAGATATATAGATACCGACTGACATTGGCACTTTGCATCAAGTTGAAGCAAGAAGACAATTCCATACACCGTCGCACATCGGATCATTCACACCTTCAGCAATGGGTTCCGTACCTCAGCCTACCAGCAATTTCGACGTTCTCATCCTGGGCGCAGGTCTCTCTGGCCTATGCTCACTCTACCAACTCAAGCAGCGCTTCCCAGAATGGCGTATCAGGGTTCTTGATGCCGCTCCAGACGTTGGGGGCACCTGGTACTGGAATTCTTACCCCGGATGTCGATTCGATTCTGAGTCGCTGTCTTACTGCTTCTCATTCGACAAGGAGCTTCTTGATGAGTGGCACTGGAAGGAGGCCTTTTCGCCCCAGCCAGAGACTCATAAGTACATCACCTACTTTGCTGAGAAGCACAATCTCAAGAAGGATGTTCAGTTTAACACTAGTGTTACAAAGGCTACATGGAGTGAGGCTGATCACACATGGACTTTTGTAGATGAAGCTGGTAACGAATACGTCTCCACGTTCTTCATTAGCTGCATGGGTTTCCTCTCTGCGCCCACTCTGCCCGCAATTGAAGGTATCGAAGACTTCAGCGGCAAGCTCTTTCATACTTCTCGCTGGCCCAAGGATCTCGACATCAATCGCGACTTTGTGGGCAAGAAGATTGGAGTAATCGGGACAGGCGCGACGGGCATTCAAATCACAACTGCCGTCTCCAAAGTGGAGGGCGTTGAGTCTCTCAGCGTCTTCCAACGCACAGCCAATTGGTCCGCTCCTCTTCGCAACTCTGAGATCACCATTGAGCAAATGGCCGAGCACAAGAAGAACTATGAGAACATCTTCAAGATTTGTGAAACGAGTTCATCTGGTTTCATGCACCATGGTGACCCTCGAAAGTCTCTTGAGGTCTCGGAAGAGGAACGCCTAGAGCTCTGGGAGAAGCTCTACAACACCCCTGGTTTTGGAAAGTGGCTGGGCGTGTTCTCTGATACGTACACCGATCGATACGCCAACAGTTTGTACTCAAACTTCATGGCTGAGAAGATCAGACAAAGAGTTAACGACCCTGCTATTGCGGAGAGCCTTATTCCCAAAGACCACGGTTTTGGCACGCGCCGAGTCCCTATGGAGAGTGGTTATTTTGAAGCCTTCAACAAGCCAAACGTTCACCTTGTTGATCTTAAGAAGTCGCCCATTGATCGTGTCACACCATCAGGCATCCTGACCTCCGATGGCAAGGAGCACAATCTTGACATTCTGATCTGCGCTACTGGATTTAATGCGATTACCGGTGCCTTCAGTGCTATCGACTGGCATGGCAAGAAGAACCGACCATTGATCGCAACGAGCGACAGCCCTAAGGGCGACCAAGCAGTTTGGGTTGACCATCGACCCCGAACATTCCTGGGCATCACTGTTCCCTCGATGCCAAACATGTTCATGGTTCTCGGTCCCCATCAGCCGTTCGGTAACGCCACTCGCAACATTGAGCACGGTGTGCAAGCTATCTCAGATATGCTGCAGTACTGCAAGGACAACGGTTACACTTCCGTTGAGCCAACAGAAGACGCCGTTGAGCAATGGACCGAGCATGTGGTGAAGTGCAGTGAGAGCCAGGTTCTTATGAATGAGATTGACAGTTGGATGACAGGCGTGAACAAGAACGTCAAGGGCAAAAATGTTAGAAGTGTTGCACGATATAGTGGTCGCATTGGAGAGTATCGAAGGCGGTGCGCGGAGGTCAAGAAGTCGGGCTACAAGGGTCTTGTTTTTGCATAGATAGAGGTAATCAAGTTTCATTTCACTTGCAAAAGCACTTATTCTTTTCCATGCAACAGTATTCGAGGGAGACTTTTATGCACCAATACTGCTCATAACGGGAAATCTATGCAATTGTGATCATGGTCATATAATTGACGAATATGACTTGGCAAAACACATCATAACACTTATAAGGATATCTTCACTAGCATTTATGCAGCTTCCGATAATTACAGTAAGACACCACAAGTTTATACTTGACGAGCTGTCGCCAGCACATTCTGCAACAGACATTATCTGGAAGCATCTAACCTAGGTAACCTATAGTGCCAGTCATGGCTGGAACAGTTTGATTTGGTCAATAGACAAGTCACTCGGTGATAATTCATCACAAATTCCCGAGATGTCTCCGTTCAAGTCCACCCTCTGTCACGGAGCTGCCTTCCCATTATCATCTGCTCATCAGATTGAGGCTATCCAGCGAATACGTTATCATGCATTCCCCGCATTTCAAAGAGGAAAGTTATATCTGGTGGCTGATCAGTGTGGGGCGAGCCCAAGATAGCGATCACGCTCCACGTCAAACGAGGAAAGCTTCTCCAAATTAGCTACGGATATCGGTCGCCGAATCGCGGACCTGTCAAACGTGGGACAATTCGGATGGAATAGTTATAGGTGTATAAGAGCGACTCTATGCTGAAAAGATAGACATCAATATCAATCATTATTATCTCAAGCATTTGTCAAATCACCAATCCCTCATCTCTAATACTTTTATCACAATGGATGTTCCAGGTTACGCTTTGATCACAGGAGGTGCTTCAGGCATCGGCCGAGCATGCGCCAGAGCATTTGCTCGCGATGGCGGCGCCGGTATTGCACTCATAGATCTCAACCTTGAATCTCTGCAAATCGTCAAGTCCGAGATTGAAAAGGAACAATTGTCACCTAAAAAGGACTTCAAGATTGAGATCTACTCTGCAGACGTCACAGATGAGAACCGAATCAACGAGATTGTTGCAGACGTTGCACAGAAGTATGGTCGCATCGACTATGTTGTCAATGCAGCCGGTATTGCCATGAAGCATCAAGGCGGTGCAGCCTTTGCTCATACAGCTGATTGGAACCGTGTTGTCAGCATCAACCTTACTGGAACATTTTTTGTGCTTAGAGCTACTGCGCAAGTCATGTTAAAGCAAGAGCCCATCCGCTCATCTATCAACGGAAGGGAATTGCAGCGCGGATCGATCGTCAACTTCTCTTCCATCCAGGGCGTTGTTGGTATTCCACTGTCTACATCTTATACAGCTGCCAAGCATGCCATCATTGGCCTCACACGTTCAGCATCGGAGGACTACGCTAAAGAGGGACTTCGCATCAACGCCATCTGCCCAGGATACACGGAGACACCAATGACCACAAAGAACCCCGAGGTGCTGAAGGCTATGCAAGAGCGAATCACAACAGCCGTTCCTATGCAGAGGATGGGTGCACCCGAAGAGATTGCTGATGGTGTTTTGTATCTCTCTGGAGGACGAAGTTCTTTTGTTACTGGGTCTGCTTTGGTTGTTGATGGTGGTTATACCCAAAGGTAATCACGAATGGGAGGACTACTAGGTTTGAGGATTGGATTAAGCATTGGGAGCTGGAACCTGGGTATCATAGATTGAGCAGTAGGCTGATGCATCGTACGTCCTAGGCTAAGACGGTGCAGGCATCTCAGATGATAATCGATGTTGAAACGTCTTGCTATACCCTCGTTTTTGTTCTTATACCACAGTCAGTGAGTGCACTTTTAGTTCTTGAAGTTGAATCATGCTAAGTTCTACAGGCCTCACTCAGATATGATTACTTGACATATTTCTAGTTTTCAAGACAGCACCAGCCATAACATACCTTTATCATCTTCTCCGACACCGATTCGCTCATTTCATCGACTGTCAATGCTCCCCTCAAGTGCATGGAGAGAATAGCAAAACTCTAACTCATTAGTCAGCGGGTTTAGCTCAGTTGGGAGAGCGTCAGACTGAAGTCAAACTTTAATCCTCACCAAATCAAGTGACATCTGAAGGTCGTGTGTTCGATCCACACAAACCGCATCAACTTATTTTTGCACTTGCTCGCTAAAAACTCCTAGCAAACCATGCGACTCTTGCATCAGCACGGCCACTTCCGTGAGCTTACAGGGCGGTGAGCAACCTGGCCTCAAACAGCAACATATTGCGCTAGTCTTATACTAAAGCTCTCACCCTGACCGCGTGTAGTGTGTAATTGAAGCAAGAAAAACCGAGGCCTCTATTAAAAATGGCGTGATACTTGGGCAACTTAATTTCCCTATCCTAGACCTTTAGATTAGTTAATTTTGGCACCCTGGTTTAAGGGGAATTTTCTTCCTCACTGAGGTATCTAATTTTTGGGACGAGCTCAGTCAGATCCCTGTTCCCTGTTTAGAGACCTCACAGCCTCTTCATAGCGCACCATTTTTACATGTCCTCCAATCTTACCCTCAACACCATATTAACAACATAAGAGCTGATTAAGGACATCAGTGCTTCATTCTCAACCTCAACCCAAGCGCAAGGGCTTTGTTCAAACCAATGCTTCAAAATGACAGAGAAACTCGATCACGGGCCCAAGGTCATGTCCGTGAACGGCAAAGTATCCGCGGCGATCTACAAACCTCTTGACAACACACGGCAAGAAATCCGACTTCTCACGCTTCTTCCGTCTGAAGATAAAGATGTAAATATTCGTTGCACCCTTTCACACGCCGTACTCAACACCCCATCTGGGAATCCAGCATACGAGGCGCTATCCTATGTTTGGGGAGAGCCTGATTTCTCGGAGCCGATAATTCTCAACTACCATACTTTCTTCATTACACCAAGTCTGAAGTACATCCTTTCATGCCTAAAGCAAAGATATGACCAGCAACGAGTTCTTTGGGTCGATGCAATCTGCATCAATCAGTCAGACGTCGAGGAGCGGGGTCACCAAGTCGCTCTTTTGCACGAAATCTATTTGAATTGCCAACGAGATATCGCATGGCTAGATCCAATGATCTTAATAATGCATGGCAAGGCCCATAAGCTCTGCAGTCTTCCAGATTTCCAAGAAGAAGAAAATTGAGTAAAACATAACATGAACTTGATGCGCGACATAGCCGAGAAGAACCCGCAGACTCTGAAAAAATTGCAAGGTCAGTACTGAGAAGGCGGTTATCGTCTCCTCACGGGCTCTCAGTGCATGCTTGGTGCTGTCGTTAGATAACAGACACTTTGGAGATAGCTGTAGGTTATGCAGGAACCTATTTTGGACTCGCGGTTGACCGTTATGTCTAGAAATAGTAAGCTAAGCTGGGATGTTCTAGAGAACCTCTTTAAAGACGAGTTATATTTTAACGTGTTTTATACCAACTGCAAGAGTAGTTATTATCACTTATACTACAAAGAATTTAGTAAAGTTTTTATTTTAATTAATACCCTTGACTTTCTTTGTCTAAAGCTTTATAACCCTGTAACCTTATAGTTATATTAACCTTATTAACCCTACTCCCCTAACCCCTAATTAGTGATTTTGAATTAATTCTTCGCAAGATCGTAGTTCTGTCTCCTAAGCCCTAATACGACCTTGGATAACCCTAGTATAGCCTTCATGTTCATGGCGCCCTTGAAGGGTTTGATATGCTAACGGATAACGGTTTATAAACCTGACTCGTGTATTGCAATGCCTTATAAGTTTAATTAGCTTATAAATAGCTTATAAGTAAGTAAATAAGGGTTAAGGCTTACCGGATAGCGATATTAATAGTATTTAAAAGTAAGTCCTTGTACTAGGTGAGGTCTTGTGTTGATAAAAGCCTTAAAGGGCCTTTTATAAGCTTATAAAGCTTTATAGCATCGATATATTGCTGTTCATGCTTTTGTAATACTTTATAAGCCTTATAAGCCCTTTCGATAGTGATTATGGGCCAGTCTGTAGTATATGTGCCATATCGGTGTCGACGTGCTCGACTGTACTGTGAATGGCTACCTCGGTAAGGGTTGATATTAAAGTGTCTTGTAACCATTGTAATTTCGGGTAGTAGTAATGTGTAGACAGTAGTATGAAACAGTTGTTTTTGATAGAATGATGGTTCTGGGATGACAGCTGATGATGTCCGGGACAAGTCTGGACACTCATGCTTCACCTGCGCCTCATTCTGTCCCGCTTTTGAACATATGGCAGGCGCGCATCTTGCTGTTACCTGCTGGGGTGCGTCGAAGAGGACCAGCATGAACTGCCATCTTGGGTTGCTGAATACCATAGTAAGCGTCCGCAATGTGTACCGATGCTCTTTCCCAGCGCGACATACTCAATGCTGGTATCAAGAACTGCGAGTCCCCATGTCGACTTGTCGGTCCCGAAGAAGATATTCTGGTCACACAAGGCACCATTCTTGGAACAGTTGCACCTATTCTCCAGGATATCAAAGACCTTGGGGCTTTCGATGTCATGAACCTGTACCTTGGCAAGGATGCCCTTGAGCAACCCCAGGACCATCTGTTTACCCCGAAAGTCGGCGGCAAAGAAATAGCAACAGGTGAGACTGCCATTCGCGCATTCTGACGAACAATGGTGAAGGATTGCACGCTGTCTCCCAGAATGCGTCGATTGAGACAAACTGAAATTGAGAGAATTGATGTTGGAAACCAGGAGATGTTGAAAGGGGGATGGAGCACCCTCCAAACATACCGTTTACACTTTGGCAACTGATACTCAAGGTCAGGATTCAGTTACCAGCCCGCCGGCGATGACGATCTCACTAAATTTGACACTGAAGGCCAAATCTCACATCATTACAGCTCTGTCGGCTTCATGTTCTCGGTCATGGATAACGCACTGTTTCTAGCAAGGTGCTTTGCTGCGAAGCAGGGTGATGTTGTGGCTGTCCTTGATGGGGGGAAAGTCCCTTTGGTGTTGCGCAAGGTCAACTCTAGAGTTGATGTTGAAGGGGAATTTTATATGGTCGTCGGCTCGACCTACGTACACGGCTTCATGGATGGCGAGGCGGAGGTTGGGGTTATCGATGGTTGGTTGGAGAAGCGGAAGACTCTGATGGCATGATTCCTCAACGTAGGCCGAGATTCAATTATCACAAATTAGAAGAGTTCTGATCATATGCATTATGGTACTGTATGACGATACTTGCTTGGGACTACCTGAACTTTGTCCATCTTTGGTTCCATACTTGGTTGCGAACAACAGACTACCCCGTTAAAGATAGCATCTTTCCCACCTTGACTCAGCTCGTTCCATAAAACGGAGCATCTTAAAAGGGGGATATGAAATACTACTGAATATCCTCGTCATGTGCCTCAGCCCTCATGAGCATACCCCAAACTGCTTCCAAGTACCAATAATCAATCGGGTTGGACTTTAAAGCAGCTTCGTGGTTCACCTGCGCTCTATCCAGCCTGTCCTTGCATGCTTGTGTCACTTCTTCAGCGTTCTCAAACTCGAGAACACGTACGGCACGCGCATCAAAGGTCCTCTTGAGGTTACTCATCGCGGCCAGGGTTTGACTGGGTCCATGAAGTCTCTCGTGAGTTTGGAGGATTGCCTCGTCGGCTTGTTGCTTTCGATTACGAGCCTGAACTATTTCGGCTTGGTTTCCTGCCACAGAGCAGTCGTGGCGCAACAGATCCATCAGTGCCCTCTTGGCGTCCCTTTTGACCGAAAAGGCGGTATCAAGTTCGATGCCCATTAGGAGACGGGCAGTCTCGATCCGATCAGAACTTAGATTCCCCAGAACTTCATTAATCGTGAGGCGAGGACTTTTGTTTCGAGGCGAGTCCCATGGTTCGTCTGCGTCATCTTCCAAGGCTTGCTTTGCGGTTCGTGGTGAAACTCGATTATCATCTTCTGTAGATGCGGCTGTTTCGTAGTGGGGAGATGGAACCTGCTGTTCGGTTGACGAGCCGAAGGAAGGAGAACTCAGTTGTGAATTGATGGTTTCTTTCTGGCTGAAGTCATCTTCTATCGCAGAACCTGTATCGCAGTCAGCCAGTGACTTGAACGTGGCGACAGTTCGAAAACTTGGGCAGTCGACCTCAGCCAGCTGGTAGGGAGAATTACCTAACGACGAACTGCTGTCATTTCCTGCTCCGCACATCGATGATACCATGTTCTTGTGTGCTTGCATCACCATCTTCTTGGTAAGGCGTGTAAAGTTCGGATGCTTGTGCTTCGATCTGAATGCAGGTTTCCTGGTGGAAGGTCCTGGTCGACAACACTCCTGATAAATCCGCCAGGCTCCCAGAGAGAAGATAACGCGATTTCTCCCATTATGGCAAGCTCAGTGATGTTCTTCAGGCATCGGACAACACTCCGGCAAGGCTTGTGAGGCCGCACGACATCTGCGGGGAGCCAGTTTGGCCCCTGCCACTCTTTGTCAAGCCAAGCGATTCTGTCCTCGTCAATTTCGCGTCTGAGCTCCTTCTTCACCTCCGAAACCAGTTTCTTGAAGTCTTTTCTCGATTGATCCATGTTCAGCGTGCACGGTGGGTGCTTCTTGAAGACGGCACGTTGCGGCGGTATGGTGCGAGTCTGCCTAACTAGAAGTCAATAAACCTCGTGACAAGTGTTTGGGAGACTCACGGGCGGCGCTTTGATGGATGAGAACCTGCTCGAATCTGGCGGGTTGGTGTGAAGACGAAAAGAATGTAACTGGGGGAAAGTTGAAGAATCTTTCTGGTGATGTTCTGGAAAGAACTTCTACACGAGCTCGTGTGCGTGATTCAGGTAGGTAACCGCGACTTGTTTGGCAGGTGTTATTCGGCAGCGCCTGCCAGGTTTTGACCGCAGGCCATCGCATCGCGCACCCGCCCAACACTGGAGGTGATTGGCTCAGCTAAGCAGCGCGGGCTCCAGATTCATAGGTGACATCGGAATAAAGGCATGTAGTCTGCGAAAGGCGCTGTTAGGAGATCAATACTCCGCGGCAAGAGTACTAAAGACGAGTGACTTTGTCCTCACGACCACCGCGTCATGTTCAGCGCGTTGACTCGTCAATTCAGAGCTACAATCGCAGGCAGGTTCTCTTGTGGAGTCGTGGAAGCGATGGCATCCCTGGAAGCAACAGTGCAGATCCGTAGGGCTACCGCGTAACAAAACCACTGAATCCCGATCACCTTATCTTAAAAGGTCCTAGACCTTCTGTCACTTGGGGGTCGTGATGTCATTTTCCAGCACACACAGTTGACACAGCGCTGAGAATTCCCCTTTTCAGGTGCTCAGCCTGTGGATCCGTAACGAAACGGACATTATTAGCAATGACCTACTGTCAACCCCAGCAGTACGCTCCACCTCCCCGCATCATACCATGTATAGGCCCTCAAAGCAGTCCCATTTATCATCCGCCGCCTGCTTGGATGCAAGGCCAATTCCAAGGGCGAACTCGGCACAAAATCACCAAGCCTTCTTTCCACCACCGTTACGAGTGCAGGCCTGACAATGCACCCGACGGTCCTGCACCCTACAACCTTGCCATCTCAAACAATCAGAAGAAGTACCCCAACTTAGTCTTGAACGCCGAGGGGATCGTAATGGCTGCTTGTTATTTCCCAAACATAAGCATTTACTACAATAGCGAAGAGAAGACATTTCGCATTGGTCTTGGTGATCCATCAAACGTTCGGTGGGCAGAAATGCTGTACCGTGGAAAAGATAAGTACGGCTGGACATGTACCTTTAATCTCCCAGACACGGGACAGCCCATTCCAATGGCCTGGACGAAGGGCAACAGCGTGGCTGTAGATGCTATGGAAGCTTCTCGCTCAAGCGGCAATAACTTCAAACTGTTAGATCCAAATGGCCAGCTTATGGCAGTCTTTACAAGCCATACTAGGAGCTTCCGCCTCAACGCCGTTGGAACTTTACAAACCAACATGGATACCGGCCCATGTTTGGGTATGGCGCCACCACAACTTTGCTGTCTATCTACGATTTTCAGGAGCGCGAAGAGGGTGGCATATTAAGTAACACCAGCGCTGCAGGTGCCGCAGCCGCCAGTAGTTCTTGTTGATCATAGAAGTTATGGAATACATCAGAACGACAAGAGAAAGACTTAGCTTCTATTAGCACGCACCTCGTCACGCACCAATAGAGGTTATTGGAATGCCGGCCGAGACAGCTGCAAATAAGATTGCTGATTGAGCCGTCATGAAAGCCTGTTATTATGCAAAGATTGGGAGACTTATCTTTATTGAGGCTATTTACACATTGCCTTCTAGAATCTCAGCATTTATGTGGCATCAGTTGGTCAGGCATTGTGACATAATGTCTAAGTTGTGAGCTAGATGTGTTATTGGCAGTTGAGACTTGTGACTGAGAGCTTATATCACCACAGAGAACTTAGTGTTCCACACACCAAACCTAGGCTTCCAAAGGCCTGAGGTAATTAAAGCTTTTTATCATTTTACCGTGACGTATGTCGTTGAGATATCATAAACCTTCGCTATAAATCAGAATGCTGGTCCAATGCTTGGTGTGAGCATGTAGCCTGGCCCATGTTGTGAAGTTTGTATAAACCTTGACGATATACCGTAAAGACCGAACCAAGCCACAGCTCAAGAATAACACTTTTCTCTAATACAGTTTCAGCTCCCAAGGCTCTATTCTAGTACCTGTGACTAATTATGACTCATCGCCGAATCTCTTGACTTTAAGAGGTGACAAGAACAAAGACCTTTATTGAACCTTATTCATGCAAGAAATCTATAAATACCAACGAGATGTGTTATACCCCCCACTCTTCTCAATTCTCATTTCTTCAACATATGGTTTTGCATGTCATCTTCATTCATCAATATGAACTCGATATCGCCCCTGTGTAGTCTCCCAACCGAGATACTTCTCATGGTTATGGAGTGCTTGGAGTCCCCTATAAGTATAAGGGCATTCGCATTCTCTTATCCCAGAGCATTGCTTCTATTCCAGAAGCATCGCCGAAATCTCTTGGACCCAGCCCTGCAAGCCTTCAATCGGATGTATCCAACTGACGAGCTACTGGAAGATGCCGTTCTTATTTGTCGATTACGGTCAACTATGCGCAACGTGGTCTTTTTAAGTCCTCTAGAAGCGAGGCAAAGGGCCCACGAGGCAGAAAGCCACGGTCCCTTAAATCGCAGGGACTGGTACAACCTTTCTCTACTCTGTGAACTCAGCAGCCTGAACAATGAAATGGACCATTTTATCTCAAGATACTCTATCCATGCGTGGAACAAGATCCAGGGAGACTCTAGAAGGGAATGCTCACGTTGCTTCGGTAGTCCTGACGTTATGCCCTACCAAGCTATAACCCTTTCTATCGAGGAACTGGAGCGTCTACAGGAGGCATTTTTCGACTTCGAAATCCAACGGCACCATCTTGCTTACGATAAGCTTCTATTACATCAGACACAGTTACAGCAAGGGATGCTTTTACCCATCTATAATGAAAAGTCTTTCCCGGCGGGGCACCAAGAGGATGACGGCATCGAAGGCTCTTGCCTGTCCATCTTCTGTTTCATATTTCAATGCTATGGTGAACTCATTCGCCAGGTTGATGAACAACTTGAGCTGGAAATGCCACGACAAACACTAGAACCTCTTCACTCTGAACTCGCACTCGCCACGAGGTTTCTTGGTAGGACTCGAAATGAGGAGTTGCGGTACATTGCTCTGTTGTGCTTGCAGGGCTATGTTTGTTTGCGCATTGCGGAGAAGTACACCGACGGCGATCTGCGCATATTCATTCTCAATAGCTTCATGTGGTTTTGCAAAGGTGGCCAGGATCATATGCCAGACCCTGATGGTAGGCTGGGGTACAGCCTTGAACGGTTCACACCGGAATATTACCCCAAAGATGATACAGCTCACGAGCCATGGAGCCGAGGGCGATACTTCTGGAGTAAATTTCGTATGTTGGACCTTCGACGGTACACAATTTACGGGCTCTAAATAGCATAAATATATATGGGGTTTTAAGAATAGTATTACATTTTACTTCTACCACTGGGGAATATACATAATATCATAGTAACTCTGGTGTTCATGGCCTTCTTCTACTAGAAGCATCAGTGAAAGTGCTCAGAGTCCTTATGTCTAGTCAAGCTCGACCTTAAAGACTTAGCAGTAGAGACCATTACATAGGTACTGATTAGACTATTTTATGTTAATACTTGGCTTAGAGATGCTGTAAGTCAACAATATTTATAGAACAGATAGAAACTTACCAAGAAATATTCCAGGAGGATTTGGGTAGGGCTACACTTCCTTGGGTTAGGTCGTCTATAGCGTCAGGATAGAAGCTCACTAGCGTATTGTTCGGCCGCTGAAGAGGTTGCTTGGGACTGCGCCATCATCGTGGATGTGGTAAAGTCGGACCTTGCCCCCATGGTCCTTGTTTGAATTATGTAGATCAAATTGAGAGCGTAGTTTCTCATCCTTTACACTTAGGCATTATGTTATAACGCCGTCCCGTCCCAATGATACCGTGGCACTGATGGTAGGTAAGTACGACCCTAAAGCCAAAAGTTCAGCGACCCTTTGACAGTATTCGCATCATTTTGCAGTAATATTATCTGGAAGAGGTTATCTTATTTTGACCTCGGGTCGGTTTGCTAAGACCTTGAGCTTTTATCGCTCCCATCGAGCCGTTGCACTGGATATCAGAGTTACGGAAGTATTGTGCATCTTATCCTCCCGACTCCGTATGGACCTTTGACTAGCCCTTGACTCACATGCCAGAACTAACTAGTCAAGTCTTTTTGTCACTTAGGATCAAGGTCCCAAGTTTTCTGCCTTGCCTGGCCTGCCCCATTAAGGCGACTGGGGTTTGTCGTTTAGATAAGAAAATACCGCCAAGATAAGAATCAAAACGATCCGAAGATCCTCTGAAGCCCACTGTAGTTTGGGGCACAGTCCAAGCATCGCCCTGTTTTAAAGACAGAGTCGCATTGATGGAACATTAGTGCTTATGTCTCGAAACCTTACCAATAAAATAGGCTGAAGATATTGAGAAACCTTGCTCGACAATCTTCAGGTTGGAACGTAGAATTCTGTCCCGTCCCTGATGTCGACACCAATTTCCAGCTTCCCACTCGATTCATGGACACTCCTCAGGGCAAGAAAACCCCTGACGCTAAATCAAGGTGCCAGAAATATCTACCTTAAGGCCCACTAAACCTATACTAAATTATCCTCAGTCTTCTTGTCCCTGAGAATAGAGGTCTGAAGTTTTCTTGCCTCCCCTTGGCACTCCGGGATTGTTGAACATGCATAAGTAAATGCGATGATCCCAAGGCTAACGGTTTTTCTCGTTTCCTGGCAACACTCGTTTTTATCCCCGTTTTTTCAGTATGAAGTTCTTGTCGCTCTTTAGTTTCTCTTTAGCAGTCACTGCTTGCCGCAGTACACCATCACCCCAAAAGTCGCCCAAGATCGACGTTCACTCTCATTTTGTTCCGAATTTCTATGCAAAGGCCTTGAGAGAGGCTGGTCATGTACCTGGCCCAGATGGAATGCCCGGCATTCCCGTGAGTACTGCACTGATAACCTGTTCATGAGATAGGCATAAACTTACACCAGTAGGAATGGGATGCCGAGTCTCATCTGCAATTTATGAAGGAAAACAACATTGAGAAGTCGATTTTGTCAATCTCAAGCCCCGGAGTCTACCTCAATATTCCCTCCAAGGATGCTACGAAGAAGGCTATCAAGCTGGCTCGTCGAGTTAACCAGTATGGATCTCAGGTTAAGGCCAAGTACCCCAAGCAGTTTGGCTTTTTTGCGTCACTTCCGCTGCCTGACATCAAGGCTTCCTTGAAAGAGATTGACTATCTCTTCAAACAGCTCAGCCCTAAGCCAGATGGAATCGTCATGATGTCCAACTACTACGGGCTGTACCTCGGTGATCGTGATCTTGAGCCAATCTACGACGCACTGAATGAGCTCAATGTCACTATCTTTGAGCACCCTACCACGCCATGCACTCAGTTCAACAAGCTGCGGTTCGATATTGACAAGACTGCTCCCTCCATCTCGTAGCAACAGTGGCAGGCTCTCAACCGGCCAGTGGCCGTCCGACAGTTTGCTGCTCCCACTTTGGACTTCCCTTTCGAGACAACGCGCACCTTTGCCGACTTGTTCTACACCTCAATGCCGACCAAATTCCCCAACCTCAAGTGGATCATGTCACATGCTGGCGGTGGTCTGATTCCAACCTTGGACCGCATTATCACCTACAGCGCTCTTTACCCTGGTCTCAACTTGACAGAGGATTCTATGAAGCAAACCCTCTCCGAGAGCTTCTACTTCGACCTTGCCGGACCTTGGCCTGTCAACTACGCCATTCCCGCATTACTTCGATGGGTCGATTACACGAGAATCGTTTGGGGATCTGACATTGTCTTCACACCCATGTCATCAGCTGCGAAGTATGCTGCTGCTTTCGATAAGGATGTTGAAGAGGTATTCCCGGATCCTCGAAAGGCGAATGCTATTCGAGCGACTAATGCTCGAGGTCTGTTCGGCTAAATGCGAGTCCCCGCTCCCCACGAAAGCTTTGCCAAGTGGTGAATCGGTACAGCGGCAATGCCGTTCTAATATGTAGTATTTATATATCCTTCTCAAATTCTTATAGTCTTTTGTTCTCTCAGGAACCCTCTCTAGGGGAGACAAGAAACTTAGGACCTTGACCCTAAGCGATGAAGATGTTTAGGTAATTTAGCCTAAGCTTAGGGGACTTTTTACTGAGTTTATTTTAGCATTCTCTTCTAAAGTCTTAAGTTTTCTTACTCCCCGAGGCCTCTCAACATCTAGGGATAGCCTAACGTACAGAATAGGCGTCGTAATTGAAGGGTGTATGACTAGTGGTGATTCATAGCCATGTAATTCATCCGGAATATCATCCTTTTCCCGCAAACAGAACATTTCTATTGGTGGACTCTACCCCAGATTCCCTGAAGCCTCGGCATGAATACCAAGAAAAGATGACCTTGCGACCCATGCCATCGGGTCAAGACAGTCCGAAGTAACGGTTTAAGCTTCCCCGCCAGTTTCTCCAGAATTCATCCACGGCATCTGGGTTTAATGCTGGTGGAATCTGCTGATCCGGGTAAATTGAGCTCACTTATTTATATGGCCAGTAAATCCCTTGAAAGAAACTTTTAATATCTCGGACCAGACTGACTCCATAAATATCAGGATGAAGTCAGTTTAAATCCTAAGCTCATATGTCAGGCCGTTCGTGCTAATCCTGAACCTAGGCTCAACCCCAAGCAACTTACAACCTTTCTGGCCGCCAACTCAACTGGCGTTGGTGTTCTGGTATGCCCCGGCGGTGGCTATAGTGTGATGTCTATTAGTTACGAAGGATTTGGTCCGGCAGAGTACCTCAACACGCTTGGCATCGATGCATGGGTTCTTAATTACACCACTGCCAGCATCAAGACCCCGCCACTATATCCTACGCCCATGGACGAAGCTCTTGCAGCGGTAGAGCTCATTCGAAAGCAGAGCCCTGGAACCAAGAAATTGGGTGTCATGGGCTTCTCAGCTGGCGGCCATCTCGCGGGAACAACACTCACGACTCCGAAGGCAAAGCTCGACTTCGGTATTCTGAGCTACCCGGTTATTACCATGGAGGACGACTACACCCACGAGAACTCACGCTATAACTTGCTCGGAAACAACCCAACTCGCAAACAGATTGAAAGCCTCTCCGTACAAAACCGAGTTTCGGACAAGACCCCACCGACGTTCCTCTTCCATACTTCTAATGACGAACTCGTCCCGGTTCAGAACACATATCTTTATGCAAATGCTATGGCTAAGCATGGTCGAAAGGTTCAGGTAGTGGTATTGCCTGACGGAAAACACGGCATTGGTCTGGGCGTTGATGACCCTGTGCGAGACTGGAGACCGGAGCTGGAAAGGTTCCTCAAATACTCGATCTAGCTGCCCTAAAGTAAGCCTATGCATATTGTTAACTTGGAGCATCCTAATCCTAAACATCATCATAAATTAGCCTTGTTAGTGGCTTTTATTATTTCTTCCACTGCGTTCACCTTGCGGTAGGTCGTGAGCTTGACAGGAGATAGGGACTTGGTGCATTTCCACAAGTCCATACCGGTTCAAGTTTCAAAAATACGAACAACGACATGTCGATACCTTGAAGCTATAGCAGCTTCTTGGAGGCCCAATGCAGGTCATGGCAACGACATATACAGACAACCCAGAAACTACGAGGCAGGTCAAACTCAGTCCTACTTTAGTAGTTTCCTATTTTTATGATGAGTTTACGGTATCTTGCTCTAAATCATAAACCGTATATCATAACATGTGCAAAACCTAGTTATAATTTTATAAGTGCCATGTTAATCTTAGAACACCTTCTCTCGCGCTAGCTGCCCATCCCTCTGGTTGACTTTTTATTCATATATCTAGTTGATCGAAAATGCGGGGCATGAAAAGCTCTGGTATCCTCAGGGTAACCACTTCTGTCCTCCCACATGCACAAGCGGGCGTGGCCCATATCATTCTTCCAACGACCTTATCCTCATAAACCAAAATTGCTAAACTGTCCTTCTCAGAGCATAAATACTTGAGACCAGGGATGCGATAGGCTCTCGCGTTCCGCAGCTCTGTTTGCAAGACGAAACTCTCGATCTCATGTGCAAACATCCTATCACATCCTGTACAAGTGATACCAACGGTGTAATGATACGGTCTGCAGTGGATTGTCCCGAACCTGGCTGCGTTGTCTCCCAGCACAGTTTGATCATCACCAGGTCTGAGTTTGGAGAAGGATAGCACGTCTCGGAGCCATTTGATGTTATCCTTGCCATCCGTTGGCCAGGATGGAATTTCTGAGCAGTTGAAGAGCTTGTTCAGAACTCTCTGCACATTATTCACTTCGTTCTTCTCTTCCAAGATTTCCATGGTGGTCAACGCATTCCCTGGATGAGTTCTTCCCAGGGTTGCAATAAAGTCTCTGACATCTGGTCCATCAATCTCCAAAGCTAACTTCGCGGCAGATGAGAAGGCTTGCATCATCGATCCTTGCTCTGGTCTACCAACTATCGAAACTGTTCCAATGTCTTCAATGCGAAGAGTAATACGTTGCTCCGAATCGTTAAACGTTGTGTATTTACCCAGTGTTGGCGGATGCACTTCCTATCCCAACTGCTAAGTGAATACGTGACTGTAGCCAAATGCAGACCAGTGGCCAGGACCTCTTCTTTCGATCGCTCCCATAAAAGGGGCTATCAACAGCAGAGAGCAGTCTCACACTTTCAAACATTCCCATGCAATTCGATAGTACTCCGTCTTGAAATCAGAACTGCGTAGTTCGAAGGACCTTGCACGAACTATTCCTCTCAACGCATGGAGGAAGTTCATTCGGTTCTTACATCCTCTCTTGCAACGTAGAGCAGTTGCCATGGCAAAGTTCATCCTCTTGAGTAACTTTGCCGATTTCAGTGTACTAAGACTCCGTGGGACTTCATTCTTCCCCATTTGGACCTTTCTTTCGAGATCATGCACCTTTTCATGTTGGCGAACCTCATCCTTCCAGGCCTTGAAGACCTGGCCCAGGAATGCAGGGTCATCAAGGTCGGGGAAGTAAGTATAGTTGCTGGTCATCATTCTGACACGCTCACTTCTGATGAACTCCATGGCGGTCCAGACGCGCTTGAAGCACTTGGAGTTGCAGACTGATATGACTGAACTGAGGCGTTCTGGAGTCTGCTTGTCTTTGCAGAGCTCATTTACCACATTCGGGCCCACATCATCGAAGTACGAGACAGTTGTCTCGGCTGTGCTAAAGAACTTATCCATGATGGGAAGGATATTACTCCTCAGAGCATCAGACATTGAGGCACACTTATGTAACCAGAGTTCTCTGGCCTCGTATCACGGTCTTTCGATTCCGTTGTAAATTTCTAGCCGAGATGTCTAAAACACGATAAGCTGCTTCTGGCGTCTCTGGAACTGTTTTTTGTTGCTGCTTGCCTTTGAGATGTTTGGATCCCAGAGATGGGAGACTGCTGAGAAGGGGATCTTGGAGCTGGCCACACAACCCATATGTCGGTCGAAGAGGATAATATCGCCTCGGGACGTAGAAACCAGGGCGCTGGAACCACGGCGACCCGGGCCTGCCTGCGCAATGCGGAATATACGAATAAGAGGGCTGCCTGAGAATGACTTCTGACACTGCAAGCACTGTAGACTCTCTTCTGTAGGCTCGCGCCATAGCTTTTCAAGGAGTCGTTCGCCTTCCATGCTGCGTAGGTGAGTTCGTGATGCCAACCTTTTCAAGACAGCAAAAGCAAGTGGGAAAGGTCGAGGTGAGATGAGGGGTTTGCAAGCTGCACATCTTTAGCAAACAAGGCAACTACTTACATACAGATGCATCGGCAATCCAATATATCGTGGTGATTGGCCGGTTTCGGCAGTTTCCAGCGTAAGCAGCCCGCCAAGTTCCATCCAGCTTTTTCTGGTCAAATACCCATACAACGGGATCTTTGGAACAGGGAAGTTATTGCGCGGGATACAATATTTTACAATCGCGTCCGTGTTTCCTGCCGTGTTGGCGACAGAAGATATTGACGAGACGCACTCTACTCAAGTTTCTCAAGATCTTAAAGAATAGTCTTGAACTCTGGCACCCTTCAGGAAATTTTGTTTCAAAGAATATGGGACCGACATGATGTTTTGAGACTTGAGATAGCCACCAGCCTCGGAATTGCTAATATTCTCGTAGGTTTAGAGTACTGTTCAGGTTCACTCTGGCAACAATCAGATTTAAATTCTGTTCTCCCGCAAACATTACCGATAATGTGGTTCGGCTGGCTGTTGTTAGCGTTCGACTTTCACGGGTTAGCCGTTATCTTAGGCTGTTCAACACCACGTCTAAATCTGAGCTAGAAGAAACTATTGAAGCCGATGTTCGTATCTTGGCCTTTTACAGAGTAGCAGCATTCAGGTGCAGAACACTAGCCTCATTCGAGATACGCTCCGAATCGAGGAAATTACCAGCTGTCAAAGAAAACGGCCCCTGACTGAATTACAAAAGGTGCCAATTTGGCAGGATGTCACTCTTGTTCATTCACGTCATTCTTATGCACAATGGCCCCCCGATCTTTGAACGCGTTGATTGCTATGGCGTTGGCTGTGGCTGGTGTTCATGCCGGGCCCTGCAAGCCATCGCTGGCATCGTCATCTATCATCTCGTTCTCGAGTGCGTTCTCCAGCGCGGAGACGCAGTCAACTACTGAGACATTCTCAACGATAGAAGTGCTGTCATCGACTGAGGCACAGACTACAGCAGGTGTTTTGTCCAGCACTGAGACACTCTCGACCGCCGACACGGAAACCACCGAGGCTCTGTCAACCACTACAGCCCTGTCGACCACGGAGGAGCAGTCGACCACTGTCTTTGGGTCGACAACATCGGCTGAAACAACCACAGCGGCAGCAACTACGACCACGGAGGCTGGATGTACAGTCGCTTGCACCCATGTCATCCAAAAGAGCGGCGCTTGTATGATTGGATTCCAGATCGCACCATGGTTGATCGACGAGTCTTGGCATATCGGTTCACCCACAGTAACTGATCAGGCAGGTTGCGCCGACGCCTGTGCCAACGACTGTCGTTGCAAGTCCTTCGCTTCGTATTACACTAGTTGCGACCTGTACTCGGGCACACAGGCCCAGATAAATCCGCCCTCCTTCTACCTCGGTCCTTATTTCTTCGATCTGGCGGACTGTTATGAATGCGATGATTGATAAGGGGGGTATAACAGGGAGTTTGGAAGAGGCTATCTTGGGGTGATTGAGATCAAGCCATAAGATTCGACTTTCGGACGATCCAAAGGCTGAGGCTGTAGCTCTCAGAGGGTTCAGGCGCTAAAAGAACTTATTAGGAGGCCAGCGATAATTTTCATAGAACCAGAGTTAGAAACACGGGGTCGACTTGATCTACTACATGTTCCTGCTTGGTGCAACATAGGCTCACGAGCAATCATGTCCGAGTCGAGCGTGCTTATGCGCTATGACTAGACAATATGGGCTGGCAACCTCTGAGGAGCTCCACCAAGTTTCGAGTCTTGGCTCCCAGGGTACAGGCAAGCCAACGACTCTGCCTTCGACTTGCAGCCTGAGGATATCAACCAAAAGAACACCACCGTCTGTCACATACGACCATACCTACCAGAGAACTCGGGATCCCGTCCGCTCTCCCATAGATAAGCTGGTAAGGGGCGGATTAGTAGTTGGGTCGGTGACGACCAGCGAATCCCCGCTGTTGTATGTTTTTGCCTGTGGTAGATAGCTTTACCTTCTTTTTGGTCCTTTTACCACTGTCGTCGCAGGCGTGGTTGGTAGAAAGACGGAAGATGGTTGGATGGGCAGACCATGCAGTCGCCCGTGGGGACATGAGCCAACGCAACCGAGCCAACGGTGTTTTGGACGAAACCCCTCACTAACCGGGCGTGCCGCGCAGGCATCACCAGCAAGTCGATACTGGTAGCCAAGCGGAGGCGTAGTGGTCACAGATGTAGAACAGGGTAGAGTAAGCTTGCTTTCGGCTATGAAGAAGGGGGCAGTGAGGTGAATGAACAACCGTCAGAGCCTGGCATCACTGTCGATAATGGACCTCTCAGTTTAGGTTTGATCAATGGTGAAGCCAGTGACCCGGAGCGTTCGAACAGGTGCCGACCAAGAATCTCGCGGTCCAAGCATTGTTTTGAGAATGTAGCCTTGGTCCACTAAAGTCTGCGCACTTGATCTATGCTGAGCCGAGATGTCTGGTCTTCAGTAGGGATAGATTTGCCAACACTGAGAGTACGCGATGTTCGCCGGGGGAGGAAACTGAGAATGGCTGTGATCCCGTTATCAAAGCAAGGACGACGCGAAGCAGCGGGATTATTTGTAGGCTTGAACAAGGAAACGGGCAGCAGTTGACCAACGGGAGTCAGGATGGGCTAGGACTATCGAAGTTGTTCAGAAAGTGGGTAGCTGAGGTTCTTATATATGAAGAACGACTATGTACAAGCATTCACGGGTATTTATACAAAAAGGTTTTCTGCAACAAAAAGACAACATGCAACGTTTATATGTCAGATTTGCTGGAACATCAGGGTTGGCCAGCCACGGCATCGTTCGTAAAATGCTCGAAGGAACCGCTCGGCAAGGTTGCATCGCCCATGACGAGGCCATCAAGCCTCCTCTTTCGATGGTCGTGTTGGACGAGAACATGTGTTGCGAAGAAGTTGTTCGTCGCTGTTATTGGGGACTAAGACTCGTGGATGTAGGCTACTGTCTGCCCGGGTATCGACCTGGGCGAGGCCGGGAGGAAGCGCGTGTTTGGCTTAGATTCGTCGGCGTGTGAAGGGTGATCCCACCACTCTGTAAAGAATTAGTCAGGATATACCAAGATCTATTGTGGTGCAAAGGCAAGACATACATTACGAGGTTCATGTGTGCAAGCGAGCCCTTGGAACCAGACGCGCCATAACCAGTATCACAATAGAGTGGCATAGATCCATTCAGCAAAGTCAAGCCAAGCCATGGCGCCCAGCGGTTTCGCGGTCGGAGGCGGAACCATCGAAGGTGAGGAGGATGCCATCATCGTGCTCATAGGAACAACGGCGGTGACTGAAGTGTTGTCGACGAATTCTTCTTCGGCCAGCGCCACGCAGGCAATGGGGGGATGCTGGCATGACTTTGGGCGCGCCGAGTACGCAACATCGGGATGAATGTTGAGTATGGTTTGTTTACTGAATAACCCGAGTGGTTCAACTTGTAAGACGTGTAACGATATCGTCGTACACATCACTGCGAACTCTGTCGAGGAATGATTGCGCTACTCCATTTTCGTCTCTGTGCTCCTGGATGGAATCCACCTTGGCATCCAGATCCTCTAGGTCTTCTCGTAGCTCAACCAGGCGCGTGTCGTAACTTTCCAGAAGATCAGCGCTGTGTTTATCCTGGCATTGGAGCTGCTCGACATCACGTTGTAGAGAGCTGAAGTCCTTGCGAAAGGTCGTGACCTGCTGTCGTAGCTGGTCGAAATCTGTTTTAAGGCTTCTGTTCTCTTGTCTCAGGGTGGAAAGTTCTTGCTGAACCAGTCGATCCTTCTCGCTCCGTGCTTTTAGCTCGGCCCAAATTTGAGCGAGCTCGTCTCTTGCCTCATCGGGGCTACTGATGCGACGGCGCTTCCTCTCGTTGATTGGGGGAGCTGGCGGGGGAGACCCAGTCTCATCGTAGGCTGGCGGCGCGTCGTCTTGCGGGGAGAGATCGACGACCTTGGCCTCGATGTTTGCAGGAGGATATTGGTTGTGGAAAGGCGCTAAACGAGTCTGTTTCGCGGCATCACTGATGGACTGGAGCTCGGCTTTGGAAAACTTTGTAGCGTCGACGTAAATACCGAATGATGTTGCGGCAGAGAGCATGCGAAGAACATCCAAGACCTTCCCTGACTGTGTTCGGCTAGGGGCCAACGGTTCTTTGGCAGCGGTGGGAACAAAGAGCCGAATGTTCTTGTTTGTTTGGAATTTCAGGCACGCAACGGGACACTTGAACTTCTCTTGCACCGCTTCCGATGCCGTTGAAGCAAAAGCGAAGTCGAACGATGTGATGGAAGAGGGATCGATGGAGATCGCAACAGGTGAAATGCCCTCGACTCCTTTCAAGTTCATCGGAAAGCGCAGCTCGACAGTTGCGCACAGCCCGCTCAGGTGAATTCGTAGCATGATGCTGTCGATCTTTGGATCGGGCTTCGAGAAGCAGTGGGTTGCGCCATCGTGTTCCCACTCAACAACGGCGGGCGTAGTCTCATCGACGTCAAGACATGGCGAGGTGAGCGACGACATTCCTGGGATCCATCAGTGGCACAGTGAGCATCAAACGTACCTTTACGCCGTCAACAACGAGACACGAGCAGAGATGACCGGCTCCGCCAGCAGGCAACCTGTGGTCTCCAGCAATACTGCAAGACCGTGCTTGGGCTCCAGCAGCGCTGCGAGTCCAAGCCAGGTCCCTTCTACAGTCCCCGGTTGTTCCAACGAAGGGCGCACCGCGCACGTTCGATGGGTACAAGTCGGAATTTTATAACGGTCTGCAGTGGCGGTTCACTGGGTCTCTGAACGTGCTTGTCGTCGGGGCGTGGGGAAGGTCGGGCGATGAGCAATATCGCGATCAGCAAGACTTCCTGATCTCCAGCACGCTGCAAGAACAAGAAGTGGTGCTTCTCTTGATGAATGATCGTGGCGTTGGTCGGGTGAGGATGGTGATGATGCTGCCTTTGGCCAGAGCGTGAATGCGAATGGCGTTGAAGAAATTGTGGGGTCGTCACATGACCTGCATGAAGGCAAGCAGGCAAGCAGGAATGGTTCAAGCTGCTTTCGATGCTACTAAAAGAGAAGTAAAAGAAAAAGAAAGGCTCGAATAATGAGAGGATGAGGAGAGTTGAGATGAACCACCGCGAGAAAGGCAGCAGCAGAATGGTTGATGCTGCCACTGTCTGAAGTGAAGGAAGCGCAATGATTCGCAGCGTATGACCTGTGTGCTCGGCTGTTCAGTTGTTGGTACGTGGAGATAAGGCTTGGCGCTATAGCACAGTGTGTGATACAGTGTTTATGAGATATCGAACTGTGCCTCAAATCAGGTTACCCTGCACAATCCGTATGAACACTCCGAAACTGTAGATCTTATGAGAGAGTGACGTAAATAGTCTTTATTACATGCTGCATCTGTTTAAATTTTTTCATAATCTGGTAAGTTTCTTTATTTATAACCAAGTACAAGTCTGCCGAGTGATATGACGAAATGTTTTTGCAGTTCAGTTCACACAGGGATTAAGAAGCGAAAGATATTCACGGACGGCGGCCATCACAAATCAGACAATGATGAACACCACTAAGAACATAAAAGAGAAAGGGACATGCCTTATTATGTCAAATTTAGTGGCTATATTCTGCAAGCATCTTATAATACTAACTTATTTAACTTGTGCAAATTGAATTCCTGTGCTGCAGAGTGCAACGCCAGATGCGCATCGAGGTTGAACGCGTAAAGTTGGTGGACGCGCAGATCTAAAAAGGGTCAATCATGCCGCTGCAATACCAGTACTTTTCACTTGCTTATCTCCTGTGTTCATTCGGTGGTAACAATGCCTGTCTCTGGTACTTCTTCAAACAAATCGCTTGTCGCTTGTCACTGAGATTTACCATTGACCTTGACCTAAATTCATATTTTGTCAAATCTATACCTATTTACCAAATCGCCTATTTTATGCGCCCCGAGCCATTAATTTATTCCTGAGAGAAAGTTATCAAAACTGACAAAGCCTGCACTCAAGATTTCCCATTCGTCATTCCCTCCCACCTCTCAAAGTTCCCAGCTTCCAGGCCAAACAAGTCCAATAACCGACCAACCATCTGATTCAATATGTCATCCACCGAGCTTGGCCTCGTGTAAAATCCGACAACAGGAGGTGCAATAATAGCACCAGCTCTTGTCACCTCCATCATGTTCCGCAGGTGGATCTCACTCAGTGGCGTTTCTCTCAACGACAACACTAGTCTCCTTCGTTCTTTGAGACAGACATCTGCTGCGCGAGTGATAAGGTCATCACAAATGCCGGCGTTGATGGCAGCTAATGTTTTGACTGAGCAGGGAACAACGATCATGCCATCGACGTGACAAGACCCGCTTGCAATTGGTGCGGCTAAGTCGCTTGGGTTGTAGACGTGATCTGCTAGTGCTCTCACTGAAGCTGGTGTGTAGTCTGTTTCATATTTTATGGTCTCAGCTGCCCATTTACTGATGATGAGATGAGTTTCAACGTTGAGTCGTCGAAGTGTTGAGAGAACGTGAATGCCGATGGCAGCTCCTGTCGCGCCAGTTAAGGCTACAATGATCTTCTTTCTTGGTGCTTCTCCCATATTGATCTCTGAAGGTGTAGTATCGAATTTGAAGGGCAAAGATAGATTGGTGCGCAACTGAGATGATGAAGAGTGCTCTCAGGTTCTTAAGTCGACGAAGTACATGGAGCTCATGAGTGACCGATAGGACATGCGACTCTTCTTAAGCGAAGCCCATGTCATGCCAGACCCGTCAGTGTGGTAGCATTGAGGCTCAGTTCGGGGACTCTCGGTGCCTTCGGGGCCCACATTCCCGGATATTGCGGCTCGGCAGATGTGGACTCGGTGGGCTCGGAGCCTCGGACTACCAAGCGTTATACAATAAACAGAGGAAATAGTATGATATGTATGAAGATATAAGAATTGTAGAAGCCCGGCAGTTATGTCGTCGACATCTGTCTAGAACCAGCAAGACTTACCAACGTCATGCCTTCTAAAACTCTTCCTCACATGGACTTCCGCAGCTACGTCGAGGCTCTCGAAGCCGACAGCGACCTTGTCTCAATCACTGAAGAATGCGACCCTCATCTCGAAGTTGGTGCTATCATTCGAAAGGTTGTCGAGAACAATGACAAAGCTCCCCTGTTCAACAAGCTCAAGGGGCAAGATGAGAATGGCTTTTGGAGAATATTGGGTGCACCGAATTCCCTTCGCTCTGACCCCAAGCAGCGTTACGGCAGACTTGCTAGACATCTTGGACTGCCTACAGACTCATCCATGAAGGTTATCTTGGATAAGATGATCGCTGCCAAAACGACACCTCCTATTCCGCCTACCGTTGTTGAGACTGGTCCTTGTAAGGAGCATATCTTAACACCAGACCAATTCGACCTCACCAAGCTTCCTGCACCACTGCTTCATCAATCAGACGGTGGAAAATACATCCAAACATACGGAATGCATATTGTACAATCCCCAGATGGCAAATGGACAAACTGGTCTATTGCTCGTGCGATGGTCTACGACCGGAACCACCTTGCCGGATTGGTGATCAAGCCGCAACATCTCTACCAGATTCACGAGATGTGGAAGAAGGAAGGCCGCGACATGCCCTGGGCTTTAGCTTTCGGAGTGCCTCCTGCTGCCATCATGGCATCGAGCATGCCACTCCCTGACGGATTGTCAGAGGCCGAGTACATTGGTTCGCTGGTCGGATCATCCCTTGATGTCATCAAGTGCGAGACCAATGGACTATATGTACCCGCTAACTCGGAAATAGTCTTTGAGGGAACATGCTCTATCACGGAAACAGCACCTGAGGGACCTTTTGGAGAGATGCATGGGTAAGCCTATATTACTGTCTGTCTTCTTTCAGTGCTGATAGTCACTCTAGCTACGTGTTTCCTGGTGATGCGCACCCTTGGCCGAAGTATACGGTGGATCTCATCACGCACCGTAAAGATGCGATTCTGCCTGTCTCCAACTGCGGAAGGCTGACCGACGAGACTGTAAGTATTAGCTTATTTTACTTGAAGGTCGTGACTAACTTTAGTAGCATACAATGATAGGTCCTCTTGCTGCCGCAGAGATCGGCTTCCTTCTCAAGTCGAAAGGTCTCCCTATCAAGGAAGCCTTCTCACCTTTCGAGTCTCAAGTTACATGGGTTGCTTTGCAGGTCGACACTGAGAAGCTACGTGGGATGAAGACAACATCTGAGAAGTTCTGCCGTGAAATCGGAGACATCATCTTCAATCACAAGGTCGGCTACACGATCCATCGCTTGGTAATCGTCGGTGATGACATCAACGTGTACGATTTCAAGGATGTGATCTGGGCTTTCTGTACTCGCTGCCGCCCCGGAATGGACGAGTACTTCTTTGAAGACGTCGCCGGCTTTCCTCTCATTCCATACATGTCGCATGGTAATGGAGCACCGAATCGTGGTGGCAAGGTTGTTTCCGACAGCTTGTTGCCAGTCGAGTATACAACCGGGAAGAACTGGGAAGCAGCCGACTTCGAAAACTCGTTTCCGGAGGAGGTCAAAGACAGGGTTTGCAGCCGATGGCAAACCTTGGGCTTCAGCAGCGCCAAGTAATATGAGTCAGCTTGGACCAGTTCAAGGCAACTTGGTGTTTTGAGAGTTTAGGCAAACTTAGAATAGAAACTTTTAGAGATCACTAGATTATTTATAGATGCCATTATCAAATGCAACGTTATCTAAACAATTTATCATAAGCTTAGTATATTCTCTAAGCGCATAGGAATTCGTTGGCCAGATAGGGACCTAGAGACCAAAATCGTGCGGCACCTGGTCCGACATGATGAAATTGTATGATTCAAGTGGAGAAAATGCGTCAAAGTCAAAGTCTCGAAGCCAATCATCCAAGCTTGCCATGCTGCACGGAGAAAGGTTAGTATGTTTGAACAACGGGGAGGGCTGCAGCACAAACCTTTGTTCCTGAGTGTTACCGAAGTGCTCTGGTAAAACATTCATGCTCTCCGAAGATTCCGCTATTGGATGATGCTCTTGAGATGAATTCTCACTTTGGCATCTGGCCTCCTCCACTGAAGATCGTTGTAGAGCTTGAATCGCCCTGAGAGCTTTCTTGTGCGCCGCGGAGAACTGTCCAACATCGTCGCTGCGCTCAGTCAATGTTTTTACTAGCTCAGCTAGTATTTCTTGGGAGTCTTGAACTTGAGCGTCAGAGCCTTCTCGGGTAAAACTCAACAAGAGTGCTGAGGCAAGACCATTGTGAACGAAGGCCCATGAACGGGTTGCAAGATTTGAGATTGAGCGTAGCTTGATGAAAGCACAGACACTTCGTTTCAGTGCACCTTGAAAGCGGTTCAAGATCATAGAGCATTCTTCTTCACTGAACTTTCCTTTGTTCTGCGAGGACAGTATAGGGCGACAGAGGGTAGAGAGAAGAAAGTAACGGTGGACGATCAGGCTATAGTGTTCCTGTAGCTCTTGGATCGAGGTACAACGCTGCAAATCCTGTAGGTGAGGAGCTAGAGAAGACTCGTAAAGGTCGAAGTCATGAAAGAGGAGGCTATAGTTCCTGACCGGTTCTGTCTGGGGAAGTCTTGGAAGATGTCTGAAGCTCAGATGGCATAGCCAGTTCATAGCCTGTCGGTAGTCAAGAGGCTGGCTAGACGGATCTAGCAATATCAGAGCTGGAAGGTCCGACTCTAGGTTCATTTCATGAGAGGCTGGGGGTCTATCGAACGCCAATGAGAGTAGAGCATCTTGCCAAACAATGGCGAGCCTGTGAATAAGGGATACGTTAGAAATCTAAAAGAAGATGCTAGATTGCTGAATAACTTGCCTTAACTGTTGCGCTTCGGCAGGAGAGAGACGGAGAGAACAGTGATTCATAGGCTGATGGAGACCAACAGATAGCGCAACTCGAACCGTGGTGCCGCCGAGGATCCAAGCTGCACGAGGATTCATGTCATTTTGCAACACATGACCAAGAATGAGCAATGCTTGGATCAGTCTCTTGGAAGGATTCCATAACAGGTCAAAAGACCCCAAACACTTGAGAGAGGCGTGCACTAAGGCGATGAGTTACTTGTAAGCGACTGAAAGGGGAGAACTGATGCTCACAATTTTGATTGGACTTAGATAGTCGTGTAGCAGTGGGCAAATCTGAGAACTGCGCCCCAGCCGCCATTATAGCATGAAGAAGGCAAAGGCTATGATTGTCGATATGCTGTACCTGAATTTCGTGGTTCAAGAGAGAACATATGAGCTTCTCGATTTCAGCAAGATCGTCGACAACGAACTGGAAAGAGTGAACTCTATCCCGATAGAAGCCAAACAGAGAAATCATGTCTTGATCAAGAGCAAGTGTTGTTTCTGAGCGCCCTGCTGATGTGCCACGCCCAACATCGGAAGCGCCATCCATACCCAGAAGAGGAAGAATTCCAGTTTCAAACGCGGTGCGACGTTCATTGTTTGAATGAGGTTGGGTGGTATCTGGCTTTGCTACGGAGATAATGGAGTTGTCACCTAGCAAGGACGGACTCGTGTTAGATACACTGCCATTGCGACTGACAGGGCGCCCAGGGTGTGTTGCATTGTTGCTACGATGACTCGACTCCGTCGTAGCCTGTAATTCTGGTTGTTGAGGTTGCGGAGTTGGACTTGATGACGCCCGAGGCTGGTCGTAGAAGCAGAGGTCAGAGTGACCGCGCTTGACGCATGTTTGACAGGGCTGCTGATGATTACAGCGCACTTTTCTCTCCCTACAAGGCAAACATGCCTTTCGGATACGTGCAAGTTGCCTCACGCGCAGTATGCTCTTCAAATCTGGCGGCTGAGTTGCTGCAGCCTCCGTTCTCGGCGCGTTCGGGTATCTCGGAATATTTGGAGTCCGTTGCGGGGAGTCTTTCATCGCAGAGTTACTTGTTTTGAGAGTAATGGTATATATAGAAAAATCATTCAGCTATATTCGAGGTAACTCTTCATCGATTTGAGAGCCTGGACAGATGCTTGAAGCAAGATTCGCTTGATCCTGTAGTTCGAGATATCCATAGCGCTAGTCCCATAACCTCAGGCACCAAAGTCAGCCACCCAATCATTCTGTTGGTGGTTTTCATCAACGACCGAAACATCACAAGATCTTAGAATTTCAGGCAAGTAATTCATTGCATATATATTCTCACCATTACGGCTTCTGGTTGTCTCGCAGCTTTTTCATCGAGGTATGTGAGACCAAGGCTCAAGTTATTGGATACTGGCCCCAGGGCGCCAGAAACTTCTGATCTTAGAACCAAGGTGTCAAAAATAACTGACTAGTTCAAAAGTTTATTCATACTGAACTTGCCCAAGTCTTTTTGTCGCTTGAGATAAAGGCCCAGAGTTTTCTTGCCCCCTTGATCAGGTATAAGTGGGCTTTTGAGAAACCCCAAGATTCATTCATGCGAGGCAGATCCTAATAAAAGCGCATTCTGGAGGAAGCTTATAGAGGAAGATTCCGGTTATAACAGTGCCGCCATGGCGTAACTGCGCCGTTGCATCGGAAGTCGAGCGCCGAAAGCGGGGCCGTCTTACTGCCTCTCCGTTGTGTCGTTCTCAGACAAGTAAGGGCCGACAACTTCTACCTAAAGTGCGCCATTTCATCAACGGCTACGGCACAGCCTAGCAACTCTAAACTAAACCCCTTTCACGCTGTTTCTCGCGAAAATCAAGCCACGTCATCTGGTCCAAACACATGCAGGGTTCAACATGCATGCAATAATCTAAGGGTAGCCCAGATGACCCAATTATGTTGGACTTGGCTTTGAGAGAAGCTCAGAGCCAAGACTTGTAGGCTATCTTAGCTGTTTGTACTAAACTTATTGAAGTCCAAGGATTGGTTGAAGCGTACTGATGGCTGAGTCTATAAGCATGAAACTTGAGCCTATTACCAATTCTGAAGTTCCCAAAGAAACAGATAATGTCGGGAATGTCAGTATACGAGAGTCAAAGTTGGATTGCTGCTCATGTCAGATTTATGTACCCAAATATAACATCCTTCATTTGCATGCTGCCGTGTTATCCCCCCAATGCATGTGTAAATCGCCTCTGATACAAACTCAAAAACGCCCTGGCCTAACACGAACCCCTGATCGGCTTGTCAATCCCGAACATGACCCTCTTCTCACGAGATGTCAGGATTTCAAGCACAGACCCCCCTTCTCACCATATTTACGTATACACAACAAGGCACCAAATTAATTCTCGCATCTTGCCGAGGAACCGCAGCCGCGTAATCTGCCCACGGAAACACGGCTTGTCCAAGTGGAGCAATCTGTCCTGCTCCGCCTCAGCTACCCCGGACCGAATCTTACGAGTTGACCACTGACGAGACTAGACGCGCTTCTAGGCCCGCGACTAGAAGAATTTCGGCAATTTTCGTATGGAGGCGTCTACGATAGAACCAATCCCAGGGTGTTGCATATTTACTGCTCTGCCTCGCTTGAGAAGCGCTGGCTTTCTCGTATTGGGGTTCTTTGTTGCTTACTCCGTTCGTCGGTTTGAGCCGCGTGGGCAACTCTCCTTTTTAGTAGGTGACTTTGCGTCAGTGAGGCACAAATGATGCGAGGATAAATACAGAATCATGGCCTCTTCTCCGCAGTTTGATAATTCATTTCTTCTGTACACTTTTTGCTTGATTAATTGTTTTCGTTTGTATTCTCCACTCGCTATAATGTCTGATTCAGCCCATCATGCCCATCGGGTATTTGTACCCAAGATCCAGATTATCGAAAACAACCCCCTTTCACATCTGCTACCATACGGCTCCTTAATACTTACTACCAGCATCATCTGCATTGTTCTCCTTACCAACTGTCTCGAGCGATGGATCCTACCAGCTGTTTACAAAGACATTTGCCAAACTTTCGAACGAACAAAAGATGAAAGGCGACGGCGTTCTTTCGTCTACTTCCACGTCGGCAGCATCATTCTTTTCTGCGTTCTTTGCAGCGGATGCTATCCGATGATGTATTTCCTCATCGGCGATGCCAAATTCTCTACACCATTCACCAAAGGCAGTTCTGTCACCATCGGCGACAGCCTGCTTGTTCTTTCAGAAGTCTACAGTTCATATTACATCTTCGAAATCTGCTTTCGCACCAAGTTCGCAAGCCCACTAAGCATTGCGCATCATACCGGACTGCTTGTCATCACACAGACAGCGTTGAGTCTTTTTGCCGATCACAATAAGCATCGCGAAGCTACACTGGAGTTCTACATGTGCATGGTCTGGGGTTAGTCAACCAAGCCTCTGCAATCTCGCGAGTCGAAATATGCTGACAACGTCTTTCTTCAGGTACATTCGATGTCATCGTCGAGCTCCCTATCTTCCTCATGATGATCGTCTGGCGAATCAAGCGCCACAACACTCTCTTGTTGTCTCGTATGGCCTATGCGTGCTGTGTCTGGCAAGTTACAGGAGCTATAACCGAGGTCGCCGTTACGATATATCTTCTCAACCGGTCGTGGCATCGCTGGGGCCTCGAGTGGCGTATCATTACCCCCTTGGTGTTCTCCCTGTGGATTACGACCCAGCTCTACGGAGCGTCTCGACTATATCAGATGGGACGTGGTGAGCGACAAAAGCTGAAAGCCAAGGACGAGTTGGCTTTGACACAAGAGGAGAGCGTATAATTGGACTTCCTGCAACTTTCTTTTTACATAGATTTGGATTTCACAGTCACATATCATTGCTAACAGAATACATATACCCGATATTTAGATAACATCTATGCTGCACAAAGCATCATGGCGCATTGTTTACTTCAAGGCCTAGCCGATGACTTCTTCTCCAATGCTCTGGCCACTAGACCAACGATCTCCCCTGTAGATTTACTGTCCGCAAACTCGAGTACATCCATAATCTTTTCCCTACCCTCATTCATGGTTATGAGAAACATTTACTCTCCCCACTTAGTCCACTCTTCATCATCATCGCTGTCCCTCAGGTGCCTGTGAAAATTGGTCTCGGAGTCTGCCCATACGAGAACCTGTCGTAGCGACGGATTGGGCCACGTCTGCTTGATGGTGACAGTGAAGGAAGACATGACCTCTCTGACGTGTTTGAGACGAGCAACCAAACCGTCACGATCCATTGGCCCAGGAAGGTTAGCTCAGGCTGGCGCAAACCGGTGGCTATACTCGTCGCTGAGAATGCGGAACAGGGCATCCGTGTTTAGTGTTCTGAAAACATCGATGTATGCTGTTGCGGTCGCAATCAAAGCCGATACAGCTGGCGCGCCCGTGGACTCGCTCGTGGAAGGCATAGCGACGAAGCGATGGGAGTCAGAAAGAGAAAATTGAACGAACTGCAAGTCGTAGGATTATAACTTGCTGTTTTCACCATCATTCCTACCCTTGTATGATAGGTTACGATAGGTTGGGCAAGTTCCGTCCCGTCGACAGTACAATATGAGTGAAAAGAAAGTCTAAAAGGTTCCCCTGCCCCTCTCTAAGGGTCTAAACTCGAATGGGAAGGATCATCATTGTAAGTGGTGCCAGGCTGACAGCAGCACTAAGCTTGCCCCAGGGACATAACATGAACTATACGCGACAACCAAGCATATACTCTATTTCCCAAAGAAAAATATTTCTGTGGGCACATAAAGCAAATACCGCCGATGGTTGAGGGCTGCTAGAGCTATTATGGAGAACTTAGATAGTATATAGGGCCGGTTATAAGGTTTGGTATAGATTAAAATGAGTTGCATTCACCCTTGTTGATTGAAATCCAACGTATTTTTGGTCTTTGACAAGCCAAATCTTTTACGAGGTGATGCTAAATTTCTCATTTGTCACCAGATCACAATGATATATCCTGCAGGATCCACCGACTCGTCTCAAATAGGGCTTTATCGCCTGTAGTCACAAGACCTCTTAGATCCCTGCCGGCAGTACTTAAATTCCGCGATAGGTACTAACGAAACGGCAAAATAAGTTAGTGCCATTGGCACTTCAAGAACAGTGAAGTATTTGATGCTCCGTGGACAATGTGATTGCTTCGCACTTGTGGCTGCAAATGTTTGGACGGGATGAAGAGTATTATACTGATGGAGGCCGATCGACATAAGGGCTTCTGTGGGATATTTGATAGAATAAAGATAGCCGCACTTGCTTTATTGTAGTGCTAATAACCGTGAACTCTATCTTGTGCTTAGAGAGGCATCTTAATGCCTTCTTCACCATTGAACCTCGATGTTATGTTGAGCCTTGACGAAATATACCATTTCTTCACACAGACTCTGTAGCCATCCCACATAGGGATTGTGTGTCATGCTCAATCTACAGCCATTCTAAATTTGAGCAGATCCCGTTGCTGAATTTGTTGGAATTTCCCCTCCAACTCTTTGACATCCCATTTACAAGATACCCATCGTCCATTCAGGGCCTGTCTACGCTTTTCCAAGTCAAGTGATTTCAGGAGCCATACCGAAAAGGCCCCTACAAGATCCGGGCTATCATTTAGGACTATCCTGAGTAAGCAAGTGACTGTGCCTGGGGTGGAAGGACTACTTACGGTGTTGAATATCATTCGATGCCGCCCGTGAAAACTCGCTCTGCATTCCACCGGGGTGTACACTAGCAACAAAAATGCCCTTGTGGGCGTATTGTGCATGTAACATCTCGACCATACGAGCTTGGGCAAGCTTGCTGGTGCAATAGTGAGATGTTGTGCCGAATCCGGTGAGACTTTGAGCTGAGATGGAGCTGATGACAACAAAACTGCCCCTGCTCACTAAGAGGAAGGGTAAAAGATGATGTGCGGCAAGCCATGTACCCAAGCAGTGTGTAGCGAAGGCCTTTTGAACGTCCTCAAAGTCTTCTTCAAGAACTGTAGCCTTTGAGAGAGGACCTGAGAACCCACAGTTGACAAATACGGCGTCTAGTCTCCCGTTGAACTGGCTCTTGACAGTTGAAGCAATGTTGACGACGCTCTCGTTGGAAGTGATGTCGCACGCAGCAGAGGCAACCTTGACCGATGCATTGATATCACCAACCTCCTTGGCTGTTGCCTCCAGTGTCTTTTGCGATCGCGCGGCGAGAATCAAGCCCGAGGCGCCAGCCTTGGCAAAAGACCTTGCGAGCCCTGATCCCGCAGCTCCTCCAGCGCCGATGATGCATACGACAAAGCCCTCTGGCAGTTCTGCATTCTTCGGGTCAATAGCATCATATGGCTTGTCGTGTTTCGTCTCGACAAAGTCTCTGACTTGCTGGGCATTCGTCAGACTTGGAGTAGACATGGCTTGGTGCTAGAGAAGGAATTTGCGATTTTAATTGGGCTGTAGGAAATGATAAAAACAAGGATTGTTCATTATCGTATCTGCTCGAACCCTTTTGTGGTCAAGGCAATGGTGTTATACCCCCGTAGTCCCGGATTTTGCTATTAATCCCGGAGCTCCTCAACCGGGCTCGTCCGCCCGGTTGCTGTATGTCAGACGAGACTTGGGCGATCAACATGTGGCTTGGGCCTAGGAGTACGGATTTATCTTATCTCCGCAAAAGTTCAGATTCATTGTCACCGTACTTTCGGTATTTGTCCGGTACGGCATATTTCGAAACATTAATTACGTACCTACTTGACACTATCAGAAACATTTGACTTGATCATAGTGGTAGCGAACCGACATGGAAGAACTGACCAGCCATATCGGCAGCTGGCCAATGTCACTCTTACTCAGGCAGGTCATACATGACTCGTCACAGCTGGTTGGGCACATCATTACAACCTTTGTTGGGGCAGCCAGGACTCTCTTTCCCCCTCTGCATCAATGACACTACTGACATCTCCCACTCACAATTCCTAGCATTCTTTCTCACAGGAAATTTTAAGATAGACAGTCGCTCAAACAGAGGCCGGGATACCATAAAGGAACAGATTATTATCTCGCAAACCCCCTTAGAAACTTTGGCAAGTTTGCCATGGAGTTATCAAAGAGCTCCAGATATGGTTATTAATCCGCCCCCGTTTGAACGCCTTCCTTTAGATATTCTGCATCATATTCTTCTAGCTATTGGCAACACCTCAGACCTTCATGCTCTGATTCGGGCATCGCCTGTAAGCTATCGCTGCTATCTTCAGCATCCAACGTTTTGGCTTTATCACTGTCTGGAATGCGAATTAGGGCTTGGTATAGTTGACGCTTGTTCCATGCATTTGTCTAACGCTGCCGATTCCCGACCCAGTCGCACGAAGGAAAATGTTCTTCAGTTCCTTAAGACTTACGATGTGCAGCGCAGAGAACATTATAAAACAAACTCAATCCTCCTGGATAAGAACCAGATAATTCCTGCTGTGACTTTCCACTCAAAGATAGTCAAACCACTCGCATATCGATTTGCCACATGGGCTCAAAGGCACCACGACACGTTAATGTTTCCGACACAGCTTAGAGTATTTGACGTAATATGTTGAGGCTTAATCTGAATATTGTGATGAACCTCATATCTGTGATAACAGCACATTCTTCTGTTTTCCCCAATGGATAGAAGGTGCCGTCCTCGCTGTAGTACCATATTAAAAGAAGCTGAGCATATGCAATCTTCTTTCTTTGGTCTCCATCTTTGAAACAGTATTCATCTCTGCCCGCTTCAGTGCAAGGAGCCAGTCGATATACTCTTGACCAAGAACACTATCTGCCCAAGCTCTGTCATCTTCCAGCTCCGTCAGTGCAGCCTCAAGAGACGTCGGAAGAAGTTTTGTCAGTCCCATTTTCTCTCTTTCTTCATCGGAATACATCAATGTGAATTCTAAATGAATTAGCAGACATCAGCTATCTCGACTTCGGTAGACCTACCAGTTGCGTTTGCGATTGTAAGAGGCTTGAAGTCGAGGGCGGCACCAATGATCGCGGCTACCATGGCATACGAGTTCGAGGTAGCGTCGTTGACGCGGATCTCCCAGTGGTTCTTGGTGACTCTTCTGACAGGCATGTCTCGATTATTATCACCCCATCCCACAAGACCGCCGGTACACATTCTGCCGATATTAACTCTCTCATAAGAGTCACCCTGGCACATGCCCAATCCCATGAGTGCAGGGATATGGCTCAATATGCCCGCCAGGGTGTCATCAGGGTTCCAGTCTTTATTCTCCTCAGTTGGGGTTGCCGAGATGTGAATATGCTGTCCGCTCTTCTGACCCTGTTCTCCGTCGTATGGTGTCGGATAGAAAGTGGCAAGAATTCCATACTTGTGTGCCACATTCTGGATTAATTCTTTGGCGTAGTAATAGGTATCCACGGCTTCAATGGGAGGAAGAGGAGGGAGGGCAACTTCATAGGCCGATGTACCGTACTCTTTTATCACCTGCTGAACTTCAATACCTGCTTCACCGAAGGCAACAATAATTTCGTTGAGTATAGGCCAGACTTTGGAGCGGAGAGTACCGAAAGTACCAGCCACTCCCGGCTTTGCAGGTTCAGCTGCTTCAAGGGTTCCCGGAACGAGAAGACAGAATTCCAACTCAATGCCAATAAGGAACTTCAAGCCGCGAGACTCTTCAGCCTTTTTGACAATGTCATCCAAGAGGAGTCGGGCATCAGTATTCTGGAAATCCACAGTACCAACGCAACGAGCTGCATTGTCGATTCCGGATGCATCATGCTTCATAGTTCGGATCGAGGAAACATCAGGGTATATCTTGCCCTTACCGTTGAAAAGAGCGAATAATTGAGGGATGAATTCAGCGGTTGTAGGTACGAGTGTATCCAACGGGGCACAATCAAGGTGACCACCAGATCTCACGAGATTCCTGAATCGTGAAGCAGGGAGTAATCTGGTCCTTACAATTCCACAAATATCAACCCATTGCAATATAACGACTTGCACTGAGTGATTTTGATTGAAGAATTCCTCAACTGATCCTGCAGCACGGTTTGCGTGCGTCTCTTCGTGAATACTGGTTGACATGGTGAGGAAAAGACCAAAGTGAGACCAATAGAAAATTCAGCAACATGAAGCCCTGGACCATTCTCGGAATTTCGAGCTGGCTGCAGAATTTATATGCCTATCCCATTCTGACACCGGGATTGAAAAGAGATGGAGATAAGTAAGCCACCATTCTGGAAGCTGACCTGTGACCTTCCTGTCTCGGACAGTGAGCTGAATCAGCCGGTGACACTTCATGCCTTATCGAGTAAGCCCTAGGCCTCCTTCATGCCGTCAGACGGCAGAATAATCGTATTGAAACAGCCTGGAGCTCCGAGGTCCTGCGTACTGCTTTTGAGCTGTTGTAACACTCCTCAGCAAAAGGTCTTCGGATCTTAGAGCAGGATGATCAAATAAGCTCATCAAAAACCTCTTTAAGATCATCATAAGTTAACCAAAGACTTCTTGTCTGGCCGAGACCCTTATGTTTCTTACCTCCACTAGACACTATGGGATGAATAAAGAACGTGGTGTTCCGGAATTCCGTTAGCGTCCTATTTTCTAAATCAGTGATGCAAGTGGTGCTATGAGGGAAACAACCATTACCGATATGGAAGTGCATAAGCACCAAGTTGCATAGAGTCAAATAATGGGAATCATTCTTCGCCCTGTCTCTGATAACAAGACTGGAGAATGATGTACAAATGAACAAGAAAAATGAGTGGCAAGTCACATCATTATCACATGGGGAATGTTGACTACGTTCCCAAGTCTTCCAGGCACCCAGTTGCTATCATGGCTTATTGTACTATGTATTCTCTCCCGTTCATGTACATTCAGTACTTTCAATACTGCCCACTCCATCGCACTGCTCACTCGACCGGGCCATCGTCCGTTGGCTCCTGTCGACCCTGGTCTCTCTGCGACAGATCGGAAGCACCAGCCAACTCCGAGCCAATAACATATCTTGTCTTGCGGAAGACACTCTGCACCAAAGTCTCATGATCCTCCTTCCACTTCTTGTAGTTCGCCCAACCCACCTGTAACTGCAGCGAGTAGTCGGCACTCTTGACCTTGCTCTTGTAGCTGGGATCATACTCATCCGGATTCTTGGGGTTGACTCCCTCGTCGAATGGTACACCACCCATGACGTTTCGGAAGTAGATCATAACATCACTAAAGGTGTTACCTGGCTTTGGCTGGGGTGAAGCCGCCATGGTAAGTGGCGGTACCATGCCGTAGGTTTGTTTGACACCATTTTTGACCTTGCCATTGTACATCGGATGGGACGTCGATGTTGAGTGACAAGAGGCGCATGCCGAAATGAAGTTGTCGGCTGGACCATTCATACGGCCGTTCCATCCCCATGTGGGCCGTGTGCCGCCCTCTCGGATTCGAATCTTCTCTGCTTTCGGGTTGATATAGCATTCTCGCGGCTTAGCCACGTGGTGCTCGGCCTTGGTCTCCTCATAGACCTTGTTCGTTAGCCAATGGTCATTGCCCCACTGAAGACCGACAAGAGTGAGTTTGTCCCAAGGCTGAGTATTTCACAACGAAGTCAGCATGAGTAAATCTTTTCCTGGTTATTGGGAGTTACTCACGCCTTTCCCGGGTTCGTCTTTGTTGTACATGAAAGTGCCAAAGACCCATCCAATTGGTGAGCGCTTATCGACGACGGCGAAGTCGACTTGGATCAGACGAAGTGGCGATGCGAAGTCATTGCGCTCTTTGCCATTGCTTGTTGACTTGGAAATGACCTGTGTCGCTTGTTAGAGATCACAGTCCCGGTGTCATAGTCGGCACAACTCACTGCATGCATTGTTGGGGCCCCATCTTGAATGGGCATCTGCTCAGGCGTGGAGTTGTTCAATAAGATCTAGTCACTGTCAGTCATGATTTTCCACCAGTGCAAGGTGATTTCCTACCTTGAAAACACATGTTCCGACTGGAAACTCTTTGTTCTGGGAGAAATCAGGGTTATCGGGATCCTTCCACATGTCACCAAAGACAGTAGCACCTGGAGGAATGTTAGATGAAGACAGATTAAAGCATGATCAGCCATACCAGTAGCGTTGTAGAATCCAACTGCCCAATTTTGCAGGGTGTCTTTCTGCGTCGCAGCAAACTCTCCTGCAGGTGTCGCTCTCTCGAATGTGAAGCCATTGATGGGTTCACGCTCGGTACAGTTTGAGTTTGGGTCCCGATAATGCATCCAAGGCGCATGGTACCAATCTCGGACTGTGTTCTCATTGAGACGAAATTCTTTCTCAACATTGCCATCAAAACAGTATTCTCTGATAGTCTTAGCAAACTGTTCAGGGTCCTTCTCGTAGTCGACCTTCAGCCATGGCGCATTCTTTCCCTCGAAATCACCGGGCAATCCGGGGGCAGGGATCAGTGGGGAGGGAGCGTGGGGGAGTGAACCATCCTTCTGTGCCTTGAGGCTAGCCTTGAGAATGTCCGAGGTGGGATAGTCGTTACGGATCTGCCAAGGACTGAAGCCAACAGGAGTTGGGTGAATGGAGGAGGTATGGAACTGGACTTGTGCTTCAGTAGCCTGCAGCTTCTGGCTGTCACTCTCGATCAGCGATGCAGCAAGGCCTGTTCCTCCGAGAGCAGCGCCTCCGGCTAAGAGCTGGCCTCGAGTAATACCCGCCAAAATTCGGAAAGCCATATTTCTGATTCACCAAAGCAGTGAGTGAAAGAAACAGATGAACAGAGACTGTAAACGCTCAATTGTGCGAAACCCCCGTTCTTAAGGGCAAAGACCCCTACAGTAATGGCTTTTGATAGAGACCTGGCCAGACCCTAGCCGCTACGAGAAGCTAAGACTAGGCTGGCGGCGGCTGAGCTGAACATCCCTGCCGACCATTGGAATCACTCCCAATAACAGTATTAATTGGCGATATCTCAGTGGCTCGGCCCGTCCCCATGACTAAGTCCCGTTCTGGGCCCAGGAACTATCCCTTGTGGCGCGAACGTGGCTCGCTGACCTGAGATAAATCACTGCCGTTTGTGTCTAAGAAACCTTCAGGGGTCTCGTAGCGCTGAATCCGATTGGCGGCACAAGTGCAGCTGAACTGCTATCACATTTTTAGTGAGTGCAAGATGACTTTGAGCGAAATCTCATTGGTCAGAAGCCGAGAGCAGAGGAACTACTTTCAATAGGCATATCAGTAGTTCAGTTACATTATTACACCAGAGTTTCTTTCCAAATCGATGCATACGCATGCTTAATACCATTTATGCATACTGCGCTTTTACAAGGACTACGTGTTAAGTCGTTTCGTACTTATGGAGCAGGTCCGTTTGTAAATCGTTCCTCACAAATCTTCCAGCGTTACTGTCATCAAGTTTCACCATTCGCCATGCAATGTATATCGATAAGGCAGCGGGCGGTGAAGATGCACGGTCAGTCTCTCTAAATGAAACACACCTTGGTAACAGACGCCCGCTAGGAGATCTTTCAGTGACGAAATGAAAGAGAGACAGGCCCGTGCGATGGTTTACTACCTATTGTTCTTTGTTCAGGCGCACAGAGGAAGAGGATGAATCAGACAAAGAAAGGGTTTCCTAAACCTGTTCAGTACTGAAGAACACAATCGTCACAGATGAAAGAGCGACAAGGTATACAAGGTGAATACGCTGAACAAACAAACTGAGCCTCTTCACGTATTGTTCCAAGGTATAAAATCCCCTGGCCTCGCCTCCTTCTTGGCAGCGCCATCAACCTCATCGGTAACACTTTCATCCCAAGTGCTATCTCACTTCACCATCTTATTGGCAAGTATCCAGCCTCTGGTCATATCAAGAGCTACCAAAGCATTTCCAGACAACATCAACATCAACATCAACAACATACCGCAAGACTTTCTTCATCTCACCTCGCCACCATGAATCCGTCTCCTCAATTTTCCGCTCCTGTCTCAATCCCTGACTCGCCCTCTGAGGGCAAGCAGGAGCACTATCCTAACGCTCTTAGTCAAGACCCCCAGGTCCATGAGTGCGGAAAAGGTATTCGCTGCCAGTGCCAGGGCTGTGATGGCTGTACTGGAAAGATCTACTGCATCACCAGCCTCCAGTGCTACGATTGCTATTGCAACTGCCCCGTCTAGACATTGTCTCTGGGCTTGAGATGAGGTTGTCTGTTTCTTGTTTGTATTCTTGCTAATGCGAGTTACTTGCGATGCGCGTGGGCGATATTTGCTGATGCAGGTTGTGATCCTTTCAATTTTGGAAGTAAAGGTTTGCTCTGGTATTCTTCTTTAGTGTGCTCTCCCATGCAGACTTCGGGGTGCAGCGGATGAAAGAGGCTTGATAGGTAGCTGAACAGGTCAGCGGAGGTCAAAGAAAAACTTACAAACCATATGCACCAACTCCATTCAATTTAAGTACATTTTATGTGATGCTAAGGCCGTAGACCGCAATACCCTTCCAACTATATTGCTATGTGATACTTTCCGTAAAAGTTTGATCGTGCGGAAGAAGACTTGGTGTCAGCACTGGGAACCTTCTACAGCATGATGTCAAACCCACGTTCTACATAAGATATGAGCTTTGACCAATGTCTCAAATATTGTGGAATATGAACAAGGAGAACATAACGCGTCCTAAGTACGAGAAACCACCCTCAACACATAGAAAGGATATTGTTAAACTTGTTCCCACAAGTGTGCAGCCGAATAACCACAAACGGGGCATAGGAGCTCAAGAGTCCCTGTGCCAACGCGAGTAAGCGTTTTACTGGGTGAATGTTGAGAAGTATATTAAGCGAGGGTACAAAGCGCTGAGGGAATCCCAGATATCACGGGTGATGATAAAGTCAATATCCGTGGTAAGGGGATTCCATTTTTCGCAACGGATTCAATTAGCCTTCGTTTTGTCAGTCACCTGTGATGTGGAGTTGTTCGTCTAATTAAGCCTTTCAAAGAGCCATTGCTCAACGCTTGGACCTTGTTGAAAGGTCTTGTTCACAGCGTAGACAAAGGGAATGGATCAATGGTTAGGAACAAAGCCAGACAGCTCATTAATATCAAACTAAAGCATGAACATGAGACAGAACACCTCCAACGTGCGCAGAAGACAACGAACTGGGCTAAGACTAGCCACTGCATCAGTAAACCATGGCCGAACACCGCCATGAACAATTGACTCGAGGGATCTTGACAGAGTATTTTTATTTATCTGAACAGAGAAGGTCGAATCTCTTTCAGTGCATATAAAAGGCCATGGGTTTGCCCTGCACCCTGGAGAGAATCGTCACTCACATCACAACTTCTACTACCAACTCACAGCAGAACATCAACAGCATCACAGCTACCAACAACTTCACACACACACAAAACAATCAACACCAATCCCCATCATCATGTATCCTTCCATTGGTTTCACCCCTGAGTCTTCGGCTCCCACTTCACCCACCGAGACTACTCACGGCTACTTCCCTTCTCTCATCCACGCCGAGTTTGGTCCCCAGCCTATTCAGTGCCCCCACAGCACTCGATGCGAGTGCACCGGCTGCAGCGGTTGCAAGAACGAGATTTCTAACTGGAGTACCATGCAGTGCTCTAACTGCAACATTAACTGCCCTGCCTAAGTGGCTTTTTTTGACGTGCATAGGTTTTTCATTTATGCCTCTTGGTTCTCTCTCCCAGCGAAGTTTAAGCTATATGCCTATTCACAGCGGATTTGAGATGGTTTCTTTGTTTTGGGTTTGTTCTTCCTGGATGCTTAACATGTTTTAGGTTCGTATTTCTCCTTTGTGTGCTTTGCGATGGAGAGGTTCGGGTGGAGTATGATGGATCATGGATCGCTAGCTGACTAGTGTGGAGAATGAGAAATGTTAAGTAAAGCATATTGAACAGGTTCCTTGGTTTTATTCTTTAATTATTTATCTGATGCGATAATAGGTGCTGTACACCGAGAAACCACAATGTGTCATGATTGCGGTCTTAAGGTCTACACAACACGATATAGAATGAATATATCCTGTTTCAGCGCTAATATGTGCTCCGCAGCTGAAATACCTACTTTAACCTTCCTGAGATTTCTGAAGCTTATGCTTCTAGCTTCTTAAAACGATGTACCTTTTCTCGTGTGAACACTCACTCAACCTTGTTCGCTTGACGCATCCTGTCTACTTTGCGGCTTTTGGTGCTTAGACACTCCTGATATCTTATCCAAGGCTCGAAGATGAGGTTAACTAGGTATGAGGGAATATGATCAACATGATATATTTTCACCGCTGAAGGAGACTGTGATTCCGTGAATATCGCACAGAGCACCACGTACATCCACAGGCGCAGGCAACTCTTACCCAGCACCGCAACTTTGCTAGAGAATTGTAGCTGAAGCACGACAGTCAAATCCTTCATAAGATCGTGGAATGTCATTCCGTTGCCCGCCGTGAATGTCCTTTCTTTTTGTGTATAAAAGCGAGGCACCATTTCGACAAACTAAAGAAACCTCACACTTACATTACCGCAACGTCTCCTGCCACTTTACCCAAGACATCAAACCTTTCACGTCTATCAACATTTCCATAGAAATAATAGCCATTCTTCGACCACATTCAACATGCATCCTTCAATGACCTCCACGATCGCCTTTTCGATCCCATTTTCTCCCTATGCCGATGTTGCTGCCGAAATGCCATCTCCAATCCCGGCCAACGGTGGTGTCCAGCCCGACCAGTGCCCTCACAGCGAGATATGTCAATGTGCGGAATGCCCCGGCTGCAAGAACTTAATTTATGTCTGGAAGACTGAGCAGTGTGCTGCATGCTACATGGACCACCCTGCCATTGTTCAATAAGGGGTTGGCTTCAACTCATTTGTGTTCGACAATAGGAACATCTATTGCACTAGATATTGCTGCAAACGCATGTCACTTATAATCATCAAAAGATAGTAACTACATGACTACCATTCAGAATTCGTCCTTGAAATGGCCAAGTGAATTGCAATGGACCTCTGTGGATACGAGCCTGACGGGTCCTGAACCACTGACTCTTTCGGTCCGTAAGGCGCTGCAACATTGTGCAGCTTCATCAGCAGTCGAGATTGCTGGTGTAACACCAACTTACCTCCCGATTATGTATAGAAGCTCACAAGCTCCAGATGATCTAACTTTTCATTCTATACTGTTGATGTTCAGTGTTTTGGTTCAACTTCCAGTCGGGGAGGCTAGGTCGTGTCTGGGCAAATCCACAACAGCCCAGAAAAAAGGCATGCCAGTGACATCACTTTGAAACATGACAGCCTTATAATGCTGGCATACTAGATAGTGGAACTTTTTTTCCCGGAGAAAATCTCGTGTAGGCGGCCAATTAATCTTGCGGCTGGCTCAGTGCTGCGCCATGTCGATAACGCAGGGATGAGGCTCCTATTCTTACAAGTGGTGTCGCGGGCTCAGCAACATTAGAGATCATCAGAAGACGACATACAATATGGGAAAAAACATAACCGTTTTTCATTCTCTCACTTTACATTTTGAAGAATGTTCACCCTTCTTACATTGAGCTCTTCCTACTTCTTTCTTGACATTGATGTCTTGCAAACCAATCTTACATGCTCCACCACTAGATGGGTCAGCATGGCCTCTGTCATCCTGACTCCACGACCCTGAGGCTGACGCTCGGAGAAACCATCTCAATCCAGGATGAAATCTGACAGGATTCAAACACTCGAGCCACTCACTGAGGCTTGGACTCAAAGAAGCGGGACGATATTTTTATATCCCAGCCTTGGGAGATTTCCTTTATCATGGACATATCTACTTCCGCAATTCCGATAGAACTCCCATTCCTCGATCAATAGCTGCTTTCAATTTGAATAACGCTTCCATAATATCGTGGTGATATCACTACCAAAATGACTTCCCGACGCCCAGATCTTTCGCAATACCCAACCGGATTCACGGTTCTGCGCATCTTCCAAGCTGTACTAAACATTATCACCATCGTCGTCACGTCTTTCACAATAAATGCCGTGGTTATTCCGGGGAACTGCTTGTTGATCATAACCGTACGTAAGAAAATGTTCCGATCGTCATTGGAAATGGCTTGCTGACTTTGCTTACAGAGCTCTGCATCACTTCTGGTCTCAACATGGATGGCCTTTGCTCATATGTTCTCCAACCGCCTCTTCAATTACTTGGTCGCCGCGATTCTTGACACCATTCTCGCTATATTTTGGCTCATATCATTTGCCGTTCTCGCGGCGCAAACAGCGGTGTTATGGGCCCACGGCACTGATTACTGTGAAAACAACAAGTGCCCCGACAGCCTCAAGACCGTGACGAGTTTTTACGGATACGTCTTTGCGACTTGCGTCGGTCTTGGTGGCTTAGCATTGTAAGTTCGCAAGGAGCTTTGGGAACAAGCCCATCATACTGACCATTTGCAGTCTGTTCTCATGCATTTGCCTTATCTTTCATGGCATTGTCAGCTGTCGACAACATCGATATAACCAAATCGGCACGAATAACGTCTCTGAACCAATTTTTGTCGGCGACAGACATCCCCAGGGCTCGACCGAGTATCGGCCTTTGGCATAAGCTAGTTGATTGTGGCAAAAAGAATTTAATGATATCAATGATTATTTCTGGAGTAACTTCTCGTGTTGAATCTGTCCATGAACCCTGAGACCCGCGGTAATTCTTATCGGGCGCCGATAAGATACGATAAAGATCAATAGATAAAGGAGTCCCTTGTGGGTCAAGCCATCTGTTAGCATCTGCTAAGAAGTACTTTTACTAGCGATTAATTTTGCCTATACAGACAGTACTTCTTATTGTGTCATAGCATATAACGCTCGCGCAGCATGTTTCTCAACTCACGAACTGGTCCTGTTTACTTTACGTAATGAAAGAGATATTATAAAACAGCCGGGGGCAGAACCCAGAGCGTTTGCCGATGAATCTTGTCCTGGGCGTAATGCAGCAAAAATCGTGATAATTTAAGACAAGACAAAACGTAGTAGTACTCTCATTGTCCACCTGCATCAACTTGTTTCATTGCCAACAGCTCCCTTCACAAAGTCATGATCATTTGGCATTTATAATTCTCTTCTATCCTGTCGGACTGACTGTATTCTGATGAGCCGCCGACCATGGGGCAACTTTAACCATCTGCCCCGGCCAAGCTGTCAATTTGACCTGAATTTCCGATGCCGTCCTAATCCTCTGGTTACCCTACGCTTGCGGCTGCTTCAAGTAGGGCCGACCGCCGACCGCCGATCGCTCGACAAAGTGACAGCATTAATTTAAAAAAGCTGTTATGACTGGCAGGTCTCTGATGATTTCCATCAAACTCAATCATACGATATCAGGAATATCCAAAACGCCGTTACAGGCTATCGCTATCAATTTGCCGCGACACTATGCTTAAAACACGTCTCAGTTCAATCGCCGAGTTGGTCGGGTCGGGATCCACCTTTCGGGGTCCAAAAGCGGAAGCCAAATAAGTCCCCGGGACGGGAAATTATATCAGATCAAAGTTTCCAGATGATTCGCTTCGGGCTCTAGATTACTAGCATTTCTTAGCAAGTCTTTCGCAATACTACCATAGCCCTTGTATAATTATTCCCCGTATGACAGCTACGACAATGGCATCGCTTACATCCACTGTTCGCAGAAGCGCAGTTGTTCTTGAAAACGTACCAACAAAAGCTTTCACATCGCTAGCAGCGCCACAATCTTCGAGAGGTCGGACTTATTACACGGTCGCGGACACCTCGGTTCAAAGAAGAAGCCTAGCCAGCTGCCAAAAGAGTCTAGCATCGAGACAACCTTGTCTTTTACACTCACGACATCCAACCCAAAATTGCATCATCGGCCGCGCCAGATTTGCGACCACTACGACCATAATGGCAGAACCAACAGTCCACTCTCTATTCGAGCCTGTCACTGGCACCTGGCAGTACGTCGTCTCGGACCCGAACACCAAGAGCGCTGTCATCATCGACCCAGTCCTAGACTATGATCCCATCAAAGCAGCCATGTCGACGGGATCGGCTGATGCCATTCTCAAGACTGTAAAAGACAATGGCTTGAAGATTGAGATGATACTAGAGACGCATGCTCATGCAGATCATCTGACTGCTGCATCATATCTCCAGTCAGCCCTTGCCAGAAGTCAAGGTTCCAAGCCACTCATCGGCATTGGAAAGCTTATCCGCCAGGTTCAGACCTTGTTCGGAGAACGATATGGCATCGACCCAAAAGAATACGATACTGTTTTTGATAAGCTTTGGGAGGATAATGATGAGTTCACCATTGGCACTTTGACCGCCCGTGCTGTCCATCTCCCTGGTCATACACCAGATCACATGGGATACCATATTGGCAGTAAGCCTACTTCAACCTAACACTACCTCGTAATGGATCACTGACTTGCTACCTAGAAAATGTGTTTGTTGGCGATTCTATCTTTCACGTTGACATTGGCTCCGCGCGCGCAGACTTCCCCGGTGGCAGCGCTGAAGCCATCTTCAACTCTGGCCGCAAGCTCCTTGCACTACCAGAAGATACAAAGATCTGGGTAGGACATGATTATCCGCCGGCTGGTCGAGAAGCCCCCGTTCCATTCGCGACAGTAAAGGAGCACAGAGAGAACAACAAGCATCTCAAAGATGGGACGCGCGAGCACGAGTTCATTGAGATGCGAAAGAAACGCGATGAGTCCCTTGCTGCACCTCGATTGATCCATCCTTCATTGCAAGTCAACATTAGAGGTGGGCGACTCCCTGCGCCGAACCCAGCAGGGCTGAAGATGATCCATCTACCAGTGATGGGTTCGTCGTGGTAGGGAAGCCTTGTGACTCAACGCCATTTGTAAGAGATACACGCTGTACGAGAGCCTGAGGTGGGTGCTTATTTTGATGTTGAGGATTGATAGTTTAGCGAGCCAAAACAAATTGCAAATCACTTTCAATAATTTCACTTCCCCTCTCTACTCTGTGCTTGCCGGTATAGGATAACGCTTTATTTTAAATCAAGGAAAGCAAAATCCAGTGAGGATGCTGACCCTCTTTCGCTGACCAGTACGATTCTGTAAAAGTGTTTATAGAGCGCAAGTGTCGGCGATGGCCCATCAGGACTTCGGGATTAATAGTTCTATCAGCATCCCGCGTGCTTAAGATACATCAAATAATACTATTTTACTCCAAAAGGTCCAAACATATTCTAATCTATATTCTAAGTTTAGTAAACGAGTGAAGGTAACGAGTGATCAAGCAAGACTTTCTTCTAAAAACGAGGTCTAAGCAAACAGGAATCCGGCCACCAACCCAGCACCAAACATCGAAGCGATACTGATAAAGGAGCTCAATCCCATCGTGGCCATACCACTGATACCATGACCACTTGTACATCCACCAGCGATGCGAGCGCCGAACGTTAGAAAAGCTCCGCCAACCAGAACCATTGGCAGTGATGCCTGTTCACTTTGTGCCATGACCTCCCGGATGGCCGGAAAGTTGGATAACGTCGCCCAAGATCCCATCATTAATCCACATGCAAAGAGGATGTTCTGAGGGACTGATTTAATACCCTTGCCACTGACAATATCCCAGAAGAACTTTCCAAACTCCTCATAGGCACCGCTGACCCCAACGGGCTTCTCGGTCAAGATAACAGACGATAACTGTCCGAAGCCTATGAGGAGGCCACCGACAACCGGATGCAGCATGGTAACACTTCTCGGGGCAATGTATAAGATTCCGGTGAGTATCGCAAGCATGATTATCTCATACCCGACGAGAACCTTGCCTGCAGACAACCCGGTAACATCCATAACCGATGTATTCCGGGCACGGCTCGTTGGCGGCTTGACTATGCACGGCTTACACCGCACCCAGATAACGCCCGCAAGGAACGACGTACATGCGAGCAACCGACTGGCGCCAATACCCGCCGTGGCCTGCACGAGGACCGTCCCGGGACAAGCACCCGTTAAGCTTATCCCCAGACCTAGCATGGCACCACCGATGATGTTACCGTCGTACGGGCCCAGCCACCTGTGCGAGCTTGCTGATCGGGCGGGAATCTTGGTGGTTTTGGAGTTGTAGAGGGTGAAGATTGCGGCGCTGGTTGCGGATGCGGTGAGGAATGTGGCGAGCATGTGAAAGTCGGAGAGGCGGAACTGATTCTTTATGACCTGCGGATTTGCTACGCCTGAGAGAGTGAGGCCTGTGCCGAAGATGGCACCTGTCAACAAGCTTGTTGCCATGGTTCACAAATAAGTCTATGAAGCGCTTTGATGCAGTTTATTGATGATAGAGTTCGAGACACACGGCAGAGGCTGAAAATCTTTGCTCTATTAACTCGCTCTATCGCTGTCTAAAATCACGCTTCGTTTCCGCTCTAGTGCAGTTTAAACTCGCTACTAAATCATCTGATCATTAATCTAGTCCCCGATGAAAATTAGAGTTTTGAAGACGCCGATATCCACTGATTTCTCCGGGGCGGCTCGGGGAAGACGGACGGAGTGGGGCTGTGGCTTCGGCGCCCGGAAGTCGGAAACAATCAGTCATTTTCTGTTTCCGTCTCGGTACCAGAACGGCACTCGCTTCTCCTTGCATTGGCCAACGCGGCTGTTACCGCTTCGTCAAGATCGGCGTGGAAGAAGGGCCTGTCGGTCGGGAAAACCGGTCTGAGACCTTGTTTTTCTGCTGGTGTAGCAGGTGATGACGATTCGATTTCTGTGCTTGTTCGCGTGCCGATTATGCTTTCGTTGTCTGTGCTGCTCTGTCGTCTTCTATCTTCGTGCGCCCCGTCAAATGATCTTGCCAATGGTAGAATTGAAGTCCAGCTTCCAATTGCATGACCATTTTCTGTCGCTCTTTGACCAAACCCAACGGCTGTCAAAGCTCGTCTCGCCCATCGATTTCGCAGTCCGCCAAAATGCCATTCGATTGAATATGGGCTTGCCCATCGATCTAGCGCATTTCTCACATCAACCAGGCCCTGAACACTGGTGATGTCAATATTGTGAATTGTTGAACAGTCGATCACGACTGCTCGTAACACGGGCAGCTCTGTATCTCCTTTGTACACGACAGGTTTGTCACACCACAGAGCCTCCGACTTGTCGCACTCCGGCTCCTCGGTCGCCCGTTTTGTGTGAGTGTACACGTAATCTGTCAACGTCTTGAAGTGCATTGCTTGGTTGAGATAATTGAGGCCTTCGGGAAAATGGTAGATTAAGATGCCTGGGTGGGGGCTTTCGACTAGGATGTCTTTGTTTGAAGCGTCTTTTCGAGAAAGACTCAAGTAAATGTCACGCGATGGTGCCTTCTCGCGCGCATTTGCGGACAATAATTGCTCGCAATCGCTTGGATCAATCTGCTGGACAGTGACCCGACCCAGGAACTCGCCGCTGGTGCGCGCAATGCGAACGAGAAGAAGTAAAAATGAGAGACCAGTGGTGACATAGATACCTGTTTCGAGTCCAGTAAATAATGCTATCACAACTCCAGCCACCCAGATGAAGAACTCGAAAGGCGAAAGTCGCCAATACTTCATCACTGTAGACGGAGAAGCAACGAGATTCGAAACAGCGTGGATAATCAGACCAGCCAAAGCGGCTCGTGGAATGAAGTAAAACACTCCCGTAAGAGCGTAAAGCGCAAGAAGTAGCATGAAGGCGCTGAAAAGACCAGCCATGGGCGTCTTGACACCAGCCTTCGACAGAACAGCCGAGGCGCCAAATGACCCCGTGCATGAGTAACCACCCAGAAATGGCCCGATGATATTTGCTGTACCTTGAGCCATGATCTCTTGCGATGGGGCAACCTCGTATCCGTGCTTCTTACCAAAGCTTTTGGCGATAGCGATATGCTCGACGATGAGGATGATAATGATGATGGGGCTTTGAGGGAGAACAACGCCAATGAGGTCAGGCTTTAAATCCGGAAGGCCAGCGTGGACGAAACCTGTGATGGATTAGCGCTTGAGGGAGGCAAGATTGAGCGGTTGAAGTACCTTGGTTGATGTGTCCCACAATTCGGAACTTGCTCTCAGCTTCCTTCAAGTTGCGGTTGACCAGGAAGCTCACCAGTGTATATAATAGCATGGCGAAGGTGAGGCGCAGGGAAGACATGATTGACCACATCTTCTTTCGCGCAGGCTGACGAGCCTCCAACTTGGCAAAGACAAACTTCGCTAATTCCAGTAGAACAAGACAAGTGATACCGATAGCAGCGTCCAACTTGGTGCCGCCCAGGTTCTTCATTGTCGATATGAACACTTTGTAAGGCTCTTCACGTGTATTGACGCCGTGGATGCCCAGCAATACAGGGAGTTGAGTACACATGATGGAGATGCTGGCTGCTGTGATGAAGGCTGATACTGGGATGTAGGGGATGACTTCGACGAGCCATCCAAGACGAAATAGGCCCATTGCAAAGAGAATAATACCAGTCATGAATGACAACGTGCCGGCGATCTCGGCACTTGTGTATGTATCTGGTCGTGATTCGTGGACGTGGGAGATGACTTCTCCGACGAGAAGGGAACCGACAGCGGTGGTCTAGGGCCTCATGTTAGCCAGGAGGTAAAAGATTTCGGTTGACCGACGTACTCCAATGACAATGTCTTTCGATGTTCCAAATAACCAGTACGTTGCCGCACCAGCAAAAGAAGTATACAGCCCAAAGTCTGGCGGTAGAGTAGCAAGAAGAGCATACGCCATTGCTTGAGGAATAACGACCAACCCAACGGTCAAACCAGCAATACTATCACCCAACAGCCACCGCCAGTTGTATCTCGGCAACCAATTCAAGCAAGGAAACAAAGACTTGGCAAACCGAAGTGAATCATGTCGGCTTGGAACGCACTCGCCCAGCGCTTCCTTCACTGTCGGTTCAACTTCGTAATAATCGATCGTCTTCTTCATGATTGCCCCAGAAAGAAAGTAAGGTTATTTTTGAGGAAAATCAAGTTTATTTTGTGGGCCGTTGGGAAGGATTTATAGATATCATGGGTGAGGCCGACAGCCGTGGAGCGAGACGGTAAAGTCGGCGGGGCCGCTGTGAGACGTTGGTCGCCGATCAGTTGGGGCCGGCGGTGACGGGGCCGATATCCTCGGACGGTCAAGAAAATGCAGGGAGAATCGAGATCGGGCCACAAATTTGTTGATTTGTGTTGCTTGTTTTTCAGACGTCTTATCGGCCGGTGCATGCGGTACAACCCTTCTTTGGGGAACTCGGTGCGAAATGGCTGTTCGCTTCAGAACACGATAATGAATGGCGCTCCGAGATACGAATGGAGAACAATAGGCCGATTCTTAAGAACCTCTACGATACGCAGGAGTAAGCATTGAACAGTTGATATTTCGGGCTATTTTAATTTATTTCATTACAGCATGATATCTATCCGTATTTGTAACTCCTCTCTTCCTGGCTGTCTGATAGTACGCGGAGTCTCCGTAAAGCATTCAATGCTACAACATGGAACAATCACATTCTCATAAGACGCTTTCATGGTTCGAATATTCAATTACTTTCCAAAGTCCCTGACAACCAAATTTTAAGAATCCAAAATGGGACCATACGCCGGAATACCGCGACTCTCCAGCTGATAAACCACTTTCGCTGTCGTCGATCTGTTGGAAATGATGCACACACATTCAGCGCCGCTCTCCTTGTAGGCTTGATATGCTAACTTGACCATATCTGGCCGACCCTTCTTGTCTGTATCCCAGATGATTGCCTCAGAGTCCATGGCAAGAATAGTGTCGAGGATCTCTTGTCCATAAGTTGAGAGAGGGTTCTTGGTAGACCAGACCACGTGGCACGGAACGCGCCTCTCCATGATGACAGGCATACAGGGTCCGATGCCTGATCCTGTTGCGACCAGAACGACCTTCTTGAACAGCGGTGCGACAGCAAGAACACCGGATGCCGGAGTACCTCGAGTCCAGATGGATGTCGGAGGCTTCTCGATGATCCGCTTGGTCCAGTCACCAGCTTTAGATACAATGATTGAGAAGCCTTTACCGCTGGGTTCAGGAATGGCTGCGAAAGCATGCCACTCAATCATGGGTCGATCAGTGATGCGAACACCTCGTGAAGTGCAAGGTCCAGGTGTGCAAAAGTCGAAGTGAAGACGCACAGCATGGTTGGAGAGAGGCTCAGGCCTGACGTTAACACGACGAAGTCTGGCCCAAGGCAGGGCGATGCTGAGAGTGATGAGTGACAGCAGGTAGATCGTTGGGTTCTTGGCCAATGCGTCCCCCAAGGGCTCAGTTGCCGTTGCTGCTGTTGATGTGATGACATGGGCCCAAACAAGAGCGACAGAGAACCAGCCGACAAAGCGATGCGCCCACTCGAACTGATCGTGCATCTTCATGCGGACACTGGGGTACGCCATACCAAGGATGAATAAGAGCAGAAGAAGGATGACATAAGTCAAGGCGAGGACGACGCACTTGATAGGAGGCTGGTATGTCTCCAAGAGAAAGTCTCGGCTTGCAGAGATCGTGTACATGAACCACCAAGCAGTAGCAGAGACGGCGCAGCCAGAGTGAACACCACCGTTGTGATATACACGGGCAAAGTGCCTTCGGATAGACAGAGGGAATGACGTGGGAACTCGGGAGCAGACGAAGAATATCGCGTTGACAACGTAGTCTTGACGTACGAGGACGGCGCAGAGAAGATTCGAAGCGACAGCCGTCGCGACCTTGGAAGGGGATGGGAAGAAGTTATTGTTGCGGCTTTCCCAAAGAAGGAAGATGAGTACAGTGAGGTTGGAGATGAAGATGAGGCCGAAGAGCTTGCGATATGCTGAGAATGCAGTGTGACGGAGCCAGCGCCACCCATGGAAGCCATTCTTATCAGGAAGTGCATACTCTTCAGTCTCAACCTCTTCATAGTCCTCAATAACGGCCTTGGGATCCTTCTCCAGATCCCTCATGATACCATTCTTCTCGCCCTCAAAGAGCGTTCCATCACTGGAACTGCCAATCGACAGCAAGCGCTCATGCGACGGCCAAACTGTCTCCGGTCTAGCCTTCACAACTGCTTGCTGAACGTCACTCTTACCCTCAGCAATCTTGTACAAAGCTCTCTTGTCAATCTTTCCATTCGGCGTGAGTTCCAGAACGGGAAGATGTTTCCAGATTGTGGGGACAGCGTAGAAGGGCTGGGTCTTTCCAACGGTTTGTTTCAGCTCCGTTTCAGCGATCGGAATGTGGGAGGAGTAGAAGCCCCACAGAGCGTTGTCGATCTTTAGGGCGCAGCCTTTTATGACGCCGGGGGTTGATTCGATGGAGCGGGATACGCCGTCGAGCTCGACGCGGAAGCCTTGGA